ATCACACGAAAAACGTTATGAAAAAAAAAATGATACAAAATCACCGTAACTTTGTAATTTTAATTAATATTTTTAAAAATTAAACTCATGATATCTTTTATCATAAATTGATTAGTAAAAAATTAATGATAATAAATTTTTTGATGCAAGTTGCAATCTTATAACATATTAACATAGTTCTTTGCATATTATAATTTACTTAAAAGTATAATGAAAATAATATATTATAAATTATGTATATTTTTAAATAAAATTCTAATAAGAAAAACACTTATTTAAAAAATAAACGGAGTAATTAATTTTCAATTGATTAATATATATATATATATATATATATATATATATATATATATATATATACTGAATTTAAAAAGTGGTTAACGGTTGTTTTGTTATAAAAAAATAAAATACTTGTCATAAATAGATGTAATAACTTTTTTTTCAATAAACAGTATAAATTGTTTTTTCTTACTTATATATAATTTATATTTATTTCTTTTTTAATTTAATTATATTTTAATAAGTGGACTCGTATGATTCGTAGATAATCATTAAAGAAAATAACTTCCCTTGTTAGAATTAAATACAGTTCAAACTCATTTAACCAAAAAATTATGGGTTAAATTCGTCTTGTCCTTTAATAAATCAAAATTATAACTTTTTCAATCCAACCTTATCCAAATGTGTAATGATTCCATTCGGCTCGCAGTCGTAGGTTAATATTCATATTTAGACCTTTAAATCGTAGCCCAATAAAATGATACACCTTTAAATCGTAGCCCAATAAAATGATACTCTTGTTTAAAATAGGAGGGTGTGAAAAACAAGAAGCACGTCGCCAATAATAGCCCATACATTACACACCTGGTTATGTTATGTGGGATTTAAATCATATCTACGGTGTTTCTTCCTGTATCTTTATTTTATTTATTTTTTCCAATCCTTATATTTATCTAAAATAACAATATTATTATTAGTGTAAATATGTAATGAATAACACATTTAAAAAAATATATCCATTAACTTTTATGTAAGTTTTTCAAAAAATGTCCCAAAATTAATTTTTTATAAATATTTCAAAAATCTGATTATGAAAAGTTTATGGAAAAGTTAATCCAAAATCTTCGAAAAAAATGATTATGAAACATTTAAAAAAAAAATTGAACGAGCTTTTTGAATTGACCTTTAAAAAGCGTTTTGGAATCAATAGAATGTTTTTGGAAGGTTAATTCTGAAATATTTTCGTTAAATTTTTGGAAAGGTCAATAAAAAAAATTATTCCGATAATTTTTTTAATAATGAATTTTGATAACAATGGATTGAAAATATTATTTTTATTTTATTATTTTTTATTTAAATGATATATTAAGAGATTTTTTTATTTTTAAGAAAAATTTGATGTTAAATTATTATTTTTATTTATAAGTAAGATATTATTAATATTTTATTATATTTTACATGAATAAATATATATATATATATATATATAATATTTTACATATCATAAATACATTATGTGAGTACTTACTTTTCTTTTAATATGAAAAAAAATTATTTTATTGTTTTAGTCGTATTTAGGAATGATAAAACTAATTAACAACTCAACCTAAAAAGTACACGGGCATCTGCTACCACGTTTTGGGACGTCCCATCTAGTTTGTCAACTCATGTGATGCGGGATGGATTAGCCCACTTTAAACAATATTTATATATTAAATTAAAAAAAATTATAATTAAAAATATTATATTTTTAATATGTTATTAAAATATGTAAATATATTATAATATTATAATTTAAATTATAAAAATTAATTAATTAAATTTAAATTATTTTCTATAATTACTTATTTTGACACATAAATATAATAATTTTTAAAAATTATCTAATAGAAATATTAATTAACAAATAAAAACTTAAATTATTCATATAATTAAATATATTTTTTTTAAATACATATACAAAAATTATATAAAACAAAATTATTGACTGATCGACCCTAACCAACCATTTAGCGACGCGAGCTAAAAGCGAAAGAGACAAAAACGGAGTGGACTGACCTATTTTGTTATCTCTAATTGTATTTGTAGTCATTTTGAGTTTAAGAGTATGATGTAATAAAATATCTTAGACAACACAATTTTCTCTCATAAATATTTATTATTTTTTGCCATGTAAAAATAACATTAGATTGGTCATTTTTATCTTGTGAAAGTAATATTAAATTAATCATTTGTATTTTTCAACAAAATAATAAACGTTTTTTATTTTTAAAACATTGTCCCTATACTTCTCTCAATGAGTATGGAATTATGAATTTTTCTACCTAACAAATTTATCTTAATAACAATATCTTATATATTTTCTTGTATTCCTTAATTACATCATAGTCTTTGGAAAAAAAAACGATATATTACTTTAGCAATATAAAGTATATCTTGAGTTGGTACGGAAATTGGATTCAGGATAACTGGAGACCAGAGGTTCGTATGAGAAAATATAAGTAAACGAGCTTTTGCTTGAGCTTAAAAAAGATAAAGGCACATGCCCCTCTACTAAATTAAGAGATGCAAAAAAATGACATGCCCCTCTACTAAAATGGGTTGGAATGCCTGTATACCTAATCTATACAGAATAGACACTCTATTTAGCAATACGGGATGTCCCTTTCATAACTTCTTGAAGTATTTCCCATACAATTCAACTCTTAGCAATTCTTATATTTGAAGCAAACTGATTTTGAATTAGACCACGAATTAGAAATGTTTGGAAAAATTTTATTGTTATTTCGTCAGGCAATCCACATTTTTGTAATGAAAGTGATGGACCTACGATAATGACAAAACGACCCGAACAATCAACCCGTTTCCCTATTAGGGTCTTGCGAAATCTTCCCTCATTGCCCTCGATTATATCAAAAAATGATTTGGATCTTTGTTGAGTTATTAAACTTTCATTTCAAAAATCAAATTAAAATACGATTACTACATAGATGAATCAAATCCGGAATATGAGTCATAAAAGAAAATACCAATTATACCGACCATAGTAATACTAATTACACTACCTATTATCCAAAGAGAAATCCTTCAAATAGTATCGACCATTTATTTCACTTTCCTCCATATCTAATCACGTAGTAAGTCATCCTAAAGACGTATTCAGTCACATATAATTATGAAAATATATCCTTATGAATGGGATAAAATAATTTCTTTTATATATATATATATATATATATATATATATATACATATATATTATCTACTATTCCTATTTCTTCTATTAATTAATTGAATAAATAATTTGAAAATAAAATAACAAGTACAAAAATAAGTAATAACCCCATTAGAGATGAATACCATTCGATTCAACATTGTGTTCATTTGAGTTTGAATGTGTTGTAGCTCTATAATTCAATTTAGGTTTATCGTTTGATGAACTACATTGCTCGTAAGTTCAATTCTTAATGGATGCACACCAATGAGACCCTCCCTCCAAAAAATCTATCGGATTTTTGTTCAAAAATAAAATCTTATTAAAACTTTAAGTTCACCCTAAACCATATCATATCCTCGATATGATAAAATATAATGAATTAAGACAAGTATCTTGTAAATATATATTTTACAAATATGTTTGAAATAAATTTTTAGTTCCGTGTATTTATCAACATATTAAACTCATAATTTTTTTATTTTTTTTATATTTCCCTTTTTCTAGAATAGAGAGTTTTCTATCATACAAATATTTCTTCATACCTCAAATATTTTTATTTACTTTATATTTTTATTTTAAATAGTCTTGATTTTTTTTTACTCTGGTTCCAACATAAAACAAATTGACAATATGTGGAGTAACCTAACATGTATTTAAACCATACCAAATGACATGAGGTAGACGATGTGAGACTTTCAACACACCCCTCAAACGAAGTCTGCCGGACCAGGCAAAGAGTACTTTGACCCAACTAAAGGGCAACTTTTGCCCCATGACAATAACCAGAAACATGTTAGGCTTTGACTTTGATACCATGTTAAGGTTCCAACATAAAACCAATTGGCAATATGCGGAGTAGCTCTAACATGTATTTAAACCATACAAAATGACATAAGGTAGGCAACGTGAGACTTTCAATATACTCTAAATTCATGATTCTTATAAATATTATTTATGCAACACCAATAAATAAATATGACTCTTCATTTTTTTAATATATACATATTTATTTAATTATGATTTGTACCAATATTAATTTTGTAGACATGACAATAACGATGTAATTGAGAAAGCTATTATCTGCATATAAAATTAGATTCTCATACATAGGTAATAATTTTGATTATCAAAAAGTGGATAACAAATAAGAATAAAGTTTTTTTTATTTGATAAAGTAATGTTCGTTAGAAGGGTTAACATAAGTTACAAGAACGTCATTTTTAAGTTTTAGATTTGATATTTTTTTAAAATTACTTAGTTTTTTTATTTCTATTTATCAATTTAATTTTAAGATATTCTTAAATTTCTAGTAATAACAAAAAATTATATACCAAGCTATTGGAGTTTTAAATATATTTCTTATGGAGAAAAGATATACTATATGAGAATCTTCTCATGGAATTATATTCCTATCATTTATCCATAAAATAAATTATAACATAATATTTAATATTAATAAGATTTAAATTTTTACTATCTAAATTAAAATATTTATGTAATATATTTTATTATTTTCAAAATATTTCAAAATGATAAAAATAAGTTAGTACTTAATTTAAATAAAAGAAAATAAAATATATATTTTACTTGCGATTGAACTTCTCAGCAGGAGCTTGCAACACATTTGCTTACCTCGTTGTTGCCACCACCGTTTGCATAACCTATTCATATTCGAGGAGTTTGAGCTTCTGGAATCATTAGCGTTTTTGTAACTGAATCCCTTCTCCCGAGCATCGCGTTGAAGTTACGTCTGTTCGGAGATTCTTGCGATTTTCTAGAACTCATGGCCGCATGGTCTTCTAGAAAGTTACTCAGAGATTTTCTTCTCAAAAGAGTTGTTTCGAACCAGCTTCCCGGCGTCAGATGTTTTTCTTCTGCGCCTCAAAGTGCTCCCAAGATCGGGCACTATTCCAAAAAAGTGCGTATTCTCACTTCTTTGATATGTATGTATGGTGTTTGACATTATGCATTGTCGTGTCGATTCTTTTTGGGGTTGGAAGATGCTCATTTCATTTAGCATGCCGCAGTTTGAAAATGCGGGGTCCATAGTGTGATTTCGAAAATTTAGTGGTTGAAAGATCTTATATAGAATGTCTTTGTTGTTTGATTACGTTTGTAGGTTATGTGTGCATGTAAATTTTCCGGGCTGTGCAGTTTACGTGCCCTCACTGATTATTTGAATTGCAGGGAAGGTTATTGACCGGAGCTACCATAGGTTTACTTATAGCTGGTGGAGCTTATGTGAGTACTGTGGATGAAGCTACTTTCTGGTACTTCATTTGGTAGTTTGAGCGTTTTATGCATTTTTGTTTTGCTCCTCTAATTATGTATTTGATGTGTTATATTACATATTTTTCACGAGGGAAAAAAAGAAAAGAAAACTCCTGTACTGCTTTAACTCTGGGTAAGCTGCGGATGTATTATTATAGAAAACAATTTTTGAAGTGATTTCACCAGAAAAGAACAATGCTTGATGCCTTGTTTAAAAGGAAATTCATACCTTGGGAATGAATGATCCAGATTTTGAATTATCTTTTTGCAGTGGATGGTTATTCTCGGCAACAAAACTTGTGAATCCTTTTTTCGCTTTGTTGGATCCTGAGTTTGCACACAACTTGGGTGTCTCTGCTGCAGCTCGTGGTTGGATCCCAAGGGAGAAGAGGCCTGACCCAACAATCTTAGGGCTAGAAGTTTGGGGAAGAAAATTCTCCAACCCAGTAGGCCTTGCTGCAGGTTTTGATAAAAACGCTGCGGCTGTAGATGGTTTGCTTGCTTTGGGCTTTGGCTTTGTGGAGGTAGGCTCTGTTACTCCTGTTCCCCAGGATGGCAATCCTAAACCTCGTATCTTTAGGTTGCGAGACGAAGGGTGAGAGTCTTATGATTGACAGTTTCAATCTGTTTTATAATTTCTTTTGACTTCTCCAATCGCCTCCTATTCACTGCAGAAAGTTATTGATACTATAAAATGAACTTTCTTTAAAGTTTGCTTACGTGGTCTACATTGCTCTAAGTCTGATCTATTTAACGTGCAGTGCTGTAATAAATAGATGTGGCTTTAACAGTGAGGGAATTGTTGCTGTTGCGAAGAGGCTGGGCGCTCAGCATGGTAAGAGGAAGCTAGATGAGACTTCAAGCTCTTCACCTTCTTCCAACAACGAAGTCAAACAAGGTGGAAAAGCTGGCCCTGGCATCCTTGGTGTCAATCTTGGAAAGAACAAGACAAGTGAAGATGCTGCAGCAGATTATGTTCAAGGAGTTCATACATTGTCTCAATATGCTGATTACTTGGTATATAGTATCTTCTTATACATGCCTTTTATAGAAAAAGAAAGAAAAGATAGAGAACCTTGTAGACTGTAACTTTTCATGGTATGACTAGGTGCATATTTTAATAAACTGTACTCCTTTCATGTCTAAGCACTAACGTGCTTGGTAACTTGTTTCATGCAGTTAGATAATGCAGTCAAGGTAGTCTGTGACTTTCCTTTTTTTTTTTTTTTTTTTTTTTTAGGTTTGGCATGCATGTCATGCCTTTAAAAAAAAAAAAAATTAAACAAAAAAAAAGGGATTAAATCGTGTCTTAAGCTTGTGTATACTCTATATATTCACTTTTAAGCTGACAATCCTTTAAACTTTTACAGTTTGTGGTTTATAGTAATTTATTGTAAATATTTGTAATTGCAGCATTTAAAAGCTATCAAATTGAAGGATAAGGTTTCTGTACAAATTTTTTATTTACTGAGGAAAGAAGTGTGGTGGCTTATAATGACTAAAGCAATCAAAGATTTATTCCTAGGATCATTGCCTTTACTGCCTGCTTAAATCTCCTTATCCTTGTGAAGGATGTTGCCATCTCCATCACCAATTCCCCAGTTTAGAAAAGTAAGAAAATTCTCGTAGAAGATGCTGAATGGATGAGAGTGAATTTCTCAACGACTAGGTTTAGTCAGCAGGGAAGGGGAATTATATGCCTCTACAGAAATATATGGAAAAAGACAACAGACAAAGTGACTCCAATTTTTTAACTAGACATTTGTGCTGCTTACTACAAATTTGTAGGGCAAATGCTTGGCATTCTGTTCTGTTGTTTAATGCTCTGAATATCTTTTTCTAGGTGATTAATGTTTCATCGCCCAATACCCCTGGTTTGCGCATGCTTCAAGGAAGAAAGCAACTAAAGGATCTTGTTAAGAAGGTAGAATTTGGAACTAGGGTGTGAAGCTTCCTCCATGTGTTTTCTGTGTTGCATACTTGGTAGATTGACTCTTGCAAAAATTTCCCTCTTTGTGAAGGTTCAGGCTGCTCGTGATGAAATGCAGTGGGGTGAGGAGGGCCCACCTCCATTGCTGGTAAAAATTGCGCCAGATTTGTCAAATGAAGACCTTGAAGATATTGCGGCAGTAAGCATGTTCATGTTAATACCTTTATCCTGTGTTCATAATCTCCATATATAACAGTTTTTGCTCTGATTGTAGGTTGCCTTGGCACTTCACTTGGATGGACTGGTATCTCTCTGCTCCATCACTAACCGGAACTTAAAGCATTTAATTGCACAATCTTCATTTCATTTCAATTGATTTATTGTTCCTAGATTATATCAAACACAACTATTTCAAGACCAGATCCCGTCAATAAAAATCCATTGGCTTCAGAAACTGGTGGTTTGAGTGGGAAGCCTCTGTTCAATCTCTCTACCAACATCTTGAAGGAGATGTATATCTTGACAAGGGTAAGTCTGTTGGTTTTACTGTGTTATTTGTATATTGCAGTGAGATAGAGTTGACATGTGCACACAATCCCATGTCTCTTATTCATGAAATTGATTATTCGTGTTATATAGTCTTCGTGGATGGTGATGTATTTGCTTATATGCACTGAATAACGGCCGCTGCATAGAAAATACTCAGAACATGACCGAATCTTTCAGTTCCTTTTGCATTATTTTCAATATTTTAGCACGTAGTACATATGGCCTCTCATTGATTTGTTTTCCCTTTTTCCGGTACAGTTACAGGTTTATTTCCCTAGTTAGCTCTCTTACTGATGCACCTCAAATCATTAGAGCTCATACATTTTGTTCTCTTGTTTCATTTTTGTATTTTTGGACCGTTCTTTATCATGTTTTGCTTATATATGTTTGTGTCAGGCTTAACAACTTGTCCCTGTCATTTCATGTATACCAGGGCAGAATTCCTTTGATTGGCTGCGGCGGTATTAGCAGGTAAAATTTTCATGTTCATTTTAGATTAACTACAGTATTTTTTATGATTTAAAATAAAATGAATTATACAATAATTTATCTGAGTTTTTGTATTAATCTAGTGGGGAAGATGCATATAAGAAAATTCGAGCTGGGGCAACTCTAGTTCAGCTCTATACCGCATTTGCGTATGGGGGACCTGCACTTATTCCTGAGATAAAGGTATGTACCAAAATTAATGGGTATGCACCAAATTTCTCGTGTACCTATTCCTCATATTATGCCTGATGACTCAAATGATTTACCTTATATTCCGTTGCAAAGAAACAAATAGTGAGAAACAAAATGAAAGAAAAATAAAGAAACAACAATAAAATAGAGTAGAAAGTGTATTTTTTTTTTGTTTAAAGAGAGTAATATGAAAATAAATAAAAAATTGTCATTTCAAAATATAATAAATAAATAAATTAAAATTAAGTAATTGTATCATTATAGAGTGATTCATCCATTTATCTTTTGAGAGACAAGATAGACACACAGGTGATTTTGAAAAATATCAGTATTCTTTATATTTTTCACTTTTTTCTCTCATGAGGAAAAAAGTAAAACACGTGGTATCCGTTGAAAAGTGAGTTGTTTTCTTTGTGTTAGGAAACAAGAAAAATATTTTTTTGTTGTTTTTTTATACTAGCACTTTCCTTTGTGCTTTCTCTTCCATGAACCGATTCTAATTGTATGCACCAAAATTCTCATTGTCATTCTCATTCAATTGGTTTCAGGCTGAATTAGCTGCGTGCCTGGAAAGGGATGGTTTCAAATCCATTGTTGATGCAGTTGGTGCAGATTGTAGATGACTTTTATGTTGGGTAAAATTAATAATAAGATAATTAGTTTTAAGAGTTTATTAGGACGCCTTAATATTGTTGGAACGAATTTATTTTGATGATATCTTGGGTGGTTATTATTTGATATTGAGAGTTTTTATTTCCTAATTATGATTAGAGATTTTGGCACGAGATAAATAGACCATTGTCTTCCTCATTTTGAGGCATGAAAAAATTCAATAATATTCAGTTTTAAGAAATTATTTGTTATCATATTAGTATCAAGAGCTAGGGTTTTTCAGCAGAGCTAGAGTTTGAGTGTAAAAAAAAACAAGTTTTTTCAGTGAGAATTATTAGTCTGATGAATGCTACAATTGTGCTCCGACTGCAAAGGACGTCGGTTATGATGGATGGAGTGTTCAGATGAAAGCTCTCCTCCAAGTCCAAGATTGTTGGGAAGTAGTAGTGGAAGATTTTGAAGAACCAGGAATGATAGATGGCGACCTATGCACTCAATGCGTTGAAGGAGGAATGTTCGAAAGATAGTGCAACTCTACTCACATTTCTTCGAGCTGTAGAAGATTCTGACTTCGAGAAAATTGTAGAAGCTACATCTGCAAACGAAGCATGGTTGACGTTGGAGACAACACACAAGGGCAATCAAACATATTTAATTACAAATACTGTATGGTGAGTTTGAAGGCATGAGAATGAAGGAGTCGGAAGAAGTTTCCGAGTACGTCATGCGGGTCAAAACTGTAGTGAATAAACTCAATCGGGATGGAGAGACGATATCTAAAGACCAAGTAGTACAAAGGTCTTGAGATTGTTAACCAACGATTTTGAGAATAGGTATGTCATAAAAGAATCAAGGGACTTGACCAAGCTCACGATTCAGGAGTTGACCGGTTCACTTGAAGCCTTATGAGTATTTAAGGAAGAAGATGAAGGAGGAAACGATTGTACAAGTGTTGCAGACTAAGGCCATAGAGGAGAAGACTCACTATTCATAGAATAATAGAGGTAGAGGACGAGGGTGCAATGGTCGAGGCTGAGGTGATGAGAAGGAAGGAGTTCAGCAAAACTGACAAGGAAGATGATGTGATAAGAGAGGAGGTCGGTCGACAAACCACTCAAATATCGAGTGTTTTAAGTGTGACAAGTATAACCACTATGCGAATGATTGTTACTTGGACAAATGTTTCAACTGTGGAAAGGTGGGGTATTTTGCGAAAAAATGCCTAAAGGTGGAAGAGACCTATCTCATAGAGGAGATGAAAGCTGAAGAAACAATATTGTTGATGACCAATATTAACATGGAAAATAGTAGTGATGGAGTTCGGGAAGATATCGATAAGAAATTGGAGAAATTTGAGGGCGATCATGTGTTTTTTGGGGATGGCTCAGAGGTATCGATAAAAGACTGATGTACTATTTGTTTCTTACAGAATGATGGCCTAGTCAGGTCAATCAGAGAGGGTACTATGTTCAAGATTTTAAGAGTAATTTTTTGAGTATTAGACAGCTAATGGAGAGAGGAGGATACTCGGTATTAATGAAAGATCGAATACTAAAATTGAAGAACAATCTCGAAAGGTTGATTGTCCGAGTAGAGATTGGAAATAATAAAATGTACATGTTGTAGCGGAGAAACATTCAGGAAAGGAGTTTGAAATTAAATGTAGAGGACACGAAGAAAAATCATCGAATTGGTCACATGTATTTTTGTGGTCTAATCGAGTTGATTTATGATGATAATCTAAATGTTTGAGTTGATGAAACGAGAGAGTGAAACTCTGGAGAATTGGAAGATGATAGAGGAGGTCGAGCTGTTACACCACCAGTAGTATTTAGTCTAAAAATTGAGGAAGAAGAAATAATTGTATCGGTGAAGTTGAAGAAAAACATGAAGAGTATGCTACTCAGATTGTTGAACATGGAGGGGAGAGTTTGCAAAGGTGTGAAAAAGATTGAACCTTAGAAAAATGCTGAGTATAGAGAGAAATTTGAGTTATGTCCGAGTAGGGGATTTCGAAGTAACTATGTCCAAGTTGTTGTGGATAAAATGATTCGAGCTGTTGTGGATGAGAAGGTTTGAGCTATTGTAGATGAGAAGGTTTGAGTTATTATTGAAGAAAAGATCTGAGTTATTGAAGAGAAGATCCGAGCTATCATGAGTGATGAGATCCGAGCTATAGATCGAAATGACACTTGGGTGATAATCGAGCTACCGAACAATATTCAACCTATTGGCATAAAGTGGATGTTCAAGAAGAAACTTAATGCACAAGAAGAGGAGTCGGAGATATTTATGTCCCACGAGACGTGTGTAAAGGAGATCCTGAACAAGTTTAAGATGATCGGTTGTAATTCGGTCTCAACCCCTATGAAACCAAGGACGAAACTTTCAAAATTTGATGGAGGAGACTGAGTTGTTCCGGTAGGTTTCAGAGCCTAGTTGAAAGTCTTCATTACCTCAAAAGTACCAGACCTGATTTGTTGTTAAGTGTTAAAATTGTCAGTCTGTTTATGGGGATATTGAGGTATATCCGAGCTACTCTCATTGGAAGACGTTGAAGCGGATATTGAGGTATATCCGAGGTACACTATCACTCAAACTGTTGTATACAAAGTCGGACAATTATCAATTTATACCGACTTATGGGGTACTCGGACAGTGATTGGTATGTAGATGTGGATGATCAGAAAAATACATCTGAGTATATATTCTTCATGGGTTACCTGATTTTCGAAGAAACAACCCATAGTAATATTGTCAAGTTGTGAAGCTGAATATGTAGCAACATTGTGGAGTGTGTCATGTAATGTGACTCAAAAATTTATTAAGCTCGGTGGAGCAAAAATAACTCGGTACAGTCGTAATCCGAGTTGATAACAAGTTGGTCATTGAACTGACGAAGAATCCGATCAATCATGAGAGGAGCAAACACATTGATGTGCGTTTTCACTTTATCCGAGAACATGTGAAGGGAATGTGAAGTTCGTATATGTGTCGAGCCGAGATTTCACGAAGTCACTATCTGCTGTGTTATTTGAGAATTGCAAGAGACTAAGAGACTAATAGGGATGAATGATGAAAGGAATGAAAGGAACTCTGGAACCGGATGTTTGATGAATTTACAAATCGACTAATAATAGTAAGTTTTCATAGATTCTGTGTTATTATTTTATCCACATCAGAATCATGTGTTGTAAGAACCACATCTATTAGAATCACAATTCAAATCATATGATTTGGCTATCTACCGGTTACAAGATGAATGTTAAATGATTTTGGTTCTTAGGATACATGCGAAATGATTGTGTAATCCATATCACCAATTTGGTTCAACAATTCACGTTTTTACTTTTTCAGCAGTTGGCATGAAAACTAGTAAAATGTCATTTAAATTTTTTTGTTTTTTTTTTGAAAAAATAGTTGTGAACTGGAATAATACCTTAATTTATCACCCATTCATTCAATGTATATATTCTATTTAATTATTTATTTGTTTCGTCTCCTTTCTTTTAAAATAAAGATTTCACAAACTTACAAAAAACTAATAGTTTTGTTTTATATAGAATTATGCATAAGTTTGATTTATCTATTTATAATCTAAATTGTTCACATTAAACATCATATCATCTATACGATATTTGAAATATTTTTTCATTATATCTATATGATATATCATCATTTTTTATTACTTAATTTGTACCAGATTTGGATTTTGCCAAGTGCTCCGAATTGTAAAAGCAAGTCAAGGATTATTGAAGCAACTCAGTCGGTGTTTATTTTGAGCAATTATTTGACAGTAAACCTCCTCATCAGAGGGTAATACCCGTGTTAACAACCAATAAAAAATAAAGCCACTTTAACGCATGATACAGTTCTCTGTTATTATTTAACTGTATACTGGTAAGGGATTGGTTGTTCTTGCTGGTGCTGCTTGGAAGTCCATATTTTACTTTTTACAGATTCACAAATCACACTGACAAGCCTTCATAATATGTCTGCTTTATGTGTATAGGATCTACACCAGTCCATGATTCGAAATAGATTAGATTAGAGATATGCTTGTTTATCATGAAAAAAAAAAGTGTTTTTTGATGCAGCTTTTTATATAAATACTTGTTTTTAACAAGCACATTACCAAATATGCATTAAGATTATGGAAATATTAACCACTCTTTTTCAGTTACTTCTTTTAATTACAATTATCACAACATTTTCTGAAACATATCTTTTAAACAATAAACTCACAAAAGGGCATCCATCATATTAAAACGCTCATTAATGTGACCACCTAATTAATTTTAACAACTGTTTTTTATTTTATTTTATAAAATATATATTTGAGAAATTGCCACTGTTTCTAAAATTTCTGATAATTTAAAAAGGCTATTGATTAGCACCTTCAAAATATAGAAGGTTATATAGATGATACATAGACCCAAAAAAGGGTAGGAACACAAGTTTGAACCTAAAAAATGAAGGGAACAATATCAGTGTATGAGTGCATTGCATCTTAATTTGAAAGGTGAAGAAGATGCTTTAAGGATACGCATTGAGCAACTCTCACTTCATCACAAGACCTCCAATAGAAATCAGACGGTACCAATTCAAAAAGCTTTATCATGCTTTGACTCCCTCCACCCCAACGTACCCGGGTAACAATTTCTGTTTCTCATGTCCAATCATTATCATTATAATATTATTGAAACTTCCCTTTTTCCTTTTGGGTCACACTACCCTTATCATCATTCCACATTCTACCTTTCTTCCTGTCTCCCTTCTATTCTTTTCCCTTTCAACTCACTCTCAATAATCATCCTTTATGCTTTGGTTTAAGATATTGATGAGCTTTCACATTGTTTGTTGAGCATGTTAATTCTCCTTTTGCTTTTATTCTCCTTTCTTAATCCATTTGCTTCCTAAAAAACAGGTGATTTCTCTCTACATTACTTTGAATCAAACGCACTTAATTATGTAGTCTTTGGGTAATGAATTATGACAAAACAAACACATCTTTTTGTCTTATTGTACTAAAATTTATTTCAAGTTATCCTCAATTCTTATTCTCAAACTTATATAGTATATGAACTTTGCATATTTATGTGCCACTCCAATAGAAGTTTGTTACTTATTATAAGTCACCTTTTGTATCTGTTTGATGTCTTTTTATATTGATGGTTGCTCTTTAGTATATTTATGTCCATTATAAAGTTATTTTGTGTATTATTTACAACAATATATGATATTTTCATTTAATAAATATATTTTTTATTTAATCTCTCAATACATAAATATCTTATAGAGAAAAATTGTTACTTCCATGAAACATTAATGTAATGTTTAAAAATAATTTCAATGGAAAAGAATTGACAAATTTTTATTATTGTCATGTGATGTCAGAACTAATATACCTAAATATCATAAATGTAAAGTAGTTGTACCTTTGCAAAGAACTATTCAATAAAGGCCACGTACATTGCATATTTTAAAGTAGCATCCATGAAGATGATTATGCACTGTCACCACACATTGTATTTAAACACAAGTTATAGTTTGTTGGGGAAAACATTATATGAAATGAAGATCTTAACATGTGTCTCTCAAAATGTTCATTACATTTAGCAAAATAATTTTCATATGACTTTTCCTCCAACCCATTTTTCTGATCTATCTATTCTCTAATCACTTTAGTGATGATTGATAGCTACGTGGAAGTAATTTGTTTAGGCACCAAACAACATTACAGTGGAATCCTACCTTAAAAGGAAAAAAATTAATGATGTGAGACTTAACAACAAACAACTTATTGGTTAATTTTAATATTAATAATAAAAAATCTATTAATGAGATGTATTAATTAATTAGTGTATTTTTTATAAAGAAAAAGTTTGGAATAAACTCTATCAAATAATTTATATAATATATAATTTGATCAAGTGATTTTTTATTATTATTTTTTTAACCTTAGAATTGTGAATTGCCATCTAAGTAGATGGAGTCACGAACCAAACAATTATTATTATTACTCACTAACTTCGAAGCCGCCACCTGAAAAGGGTAGTTTCGTGAATTCGAAGCTCCAGCGAAAATATTGTACTAACTGAATTTTCTCTTCAAATTCGGTTGGCAAGGAAAAAACGCGCAGTGCAAAAAACAATTTAAAATTTAAATTTAAAATATTGTTAGAAACGGAAAAGAAATTAAATTGAATTGAATAAGAGATTGAGGACCAGGAATTCAACCATAAAATAAAAGAAAAAGTTAAAAAAGAAAAACTCCCTCCTTTTCTTTAATCGTTTTAAAATTTTGTGTGATTATTATGCTAAGTAGGAAGTGCGAAAAAGCAAGGCCAAAAAAGCTGTTTCTTTCAAATTCATCTTCTCTTCTTCTCCATACGTTGGATGCGCGAGGAACCAAACGCGCCCTTGTGAGGCTCAGACTCTTCCCCGAACATATTGCCAATGCTCTTCTTGCTTTTCTTCTTCTCCCAGTTTTTCTGAGCTCTGAATCGCTCAATGCTCAACGTTTCCGCCAACATTATCACTCTTCTTCAAGATCTTCGTCTCACTCCGTCTTCGGCCAAACTTATCTGAGGTTAGTGGATCCGCTTCACGGAAATCTGAACCAGTTGCTGATTTCGTTTGTGTTTCTGTTTTCAGCGTTCTTTGACTCTGCTTTTGTTTCGCGGCACGTAAAACGAGGAGAGCTGAAGAAAATGAGGATTGTTGTTTGAAATTTTGTTATATCATCTTGACTTTTAGTTTCTAAGTTAAACATTTCGAGTTAGTTGATATTTATCTTTCGTTTTTTAGATTTTCAGTGTTTATGATTTTTTGCTTTCTCAGAAGTTGATGTTTGAGTTAGAAGTGTAGAACATAAGATCTGTTTGAGTGTTAATGTAGTAGTATTTTACAAAGAAAAAGATAGGAAAGATTGAAGGTGAAAGACGTTTTCAAACTTGAAGGGAGTTGATTAAGTTTGGGTCCATTGAATTAGCCGAGTGGGGAAGTGGTTTTGTTAGGTTCATGATTTTTGAATTTTACAGCTTGGAATGAGGTTGAACGTGTCGATTCAATCAGGACTTTAAAGCCTGGAGCATTGGATTAGGGAGTGGAGAGTAGAGTGTGTATGTGGAGCTAGGTCCCCTCTCCATTATGTTATCCTGATTAAGTCATTCATTGGGGGCCTTGTTTAAAGTTTGAAAGGCCCATTTGTATGGAAAGTTAGCTTTTTTGTTTTTGAAAAAATGTTACCACTTTTTGCTTTTTCGCAATTTGCATTTGCCGATGGTAACCTTTTTTGGTCATGGCAGAAGTCTATAAGGGAAGATGTCTCAGACATCCAGCGTCCTGCCTGCCTTCCACTCCATCAAGTCATTGCCTCCTGAGTTTAAGTTTGCCAATAATCCAAACCCTCCGCTTGTGGAAAAACATGGAGATGTTAAATTTAGAAGGTCCAATCCGATTGGATCAAATGGTCTTGAGAATGGTGTACATGTAGGGGAGGTTTCTAAGGAAGTTCGAGCCCGAGCTGGTGGCATGGATCTTTTCGATGAGGATTCTCCATATGGTGGAAAAGGTAGATCATTAAAAGATCGACCATCTAATGCACATGAGGACTCAGTATCCGTTTCGTTGCCCCTGCCTTCAATTTTAATATCCTCTAGGGAAAACAGGTGGAATGATACAAATCTTTATGGTTCAAAAAAGGTAATTTTAGCTCAGATTTCAGTTATCCTTTCTGCTGCTGTATTCTGAAATCAATTTATTATAGTACCTGCTATTTAGTTATTCAGTTGGACAAATAGCTTGATTTTTCTGGAAGAATGTTCAAGGAATTAATTCATGTTCTTTCTGTTTAATATGGATGAGTGTGGATGTACTGTGCCGGGGATGGAATGCATTCCTCGTTGCTTTGATAAGATGTTTAAAATAATTTCAAATGAAGCTAATTGCCATTCAAGCGAATCAGTCATTTCTTACTGAGTTTGTTTGATCTCCCATTAATAGATAGTTTTAAAATTTTTGTTACTTTCTCTTACTTCTGAAGTTTATTATTTCAGAAAGTTCAGTCTTGGCTCCAATTACCAAATGGGGATTGGGAGCTGGTAAAGATAATAACAACTTCTGGAGCTGAATCTGTCATTTCACTGCCTGATGGGAAAGTAAGATAAGCAACAGTATTTCTCAAGAGTTTTTGGTTCTTTTATAGTCTGATTAACTGTTCTCTCTCCCCCCATTATAGGTTTTAAAGGTAAAAGAGGAGAATTTGGTGCCAGCTAATCCCGACATTCTTGATGGAGTGGATGACCTCATGCAACTTAGTTATTTAAATGAACCGGCAGTTTTATTCAACCTGCAATATAGATACAACCAAAATATGATCTATGTAAGCTTATATTTCTTAATTTTCTCTCTTCATTTTTTTTTTCCTATTCATAACATCTTTAAGTAAATAACTGTTTAATTCAGACGAAAGCTGGGCCTGTTTTGGTTGCCGTGAATCCCTTTAAGAAAGTTCCTTTGTATGGTAATGACTATATTGAAGCCTACAAGTGTAAAGCAATTGAAAGCCCGCATGTATATGCAATTACTGACACAGCCATCCGAGAAATGATACGAGGTAACATTTTCCTTATATTTACCTTATATATATATATATATATATATATATATATATATATATATATATATGGATGAAGTTTCTGAAAGTTAAGCTGTGTCCATTTGTTTTCAGATATAACTTTATAATCTATCTATTACTTTGTTTACAGATGAAGTGAATCAATCCATAATTATAAGGTCAGTATTTCTTGATTAATTCTTTTTTTCCGAGCAAGTAGTCACAAACTATTTGGTGTTTTTTTGCTTTTTTAAAAGATGCTTCAATCTAATTTTTTGGTAGAAATATTCAGTTATGAATGATCAACCAATAACCTTTCGGCTTGTTGATTTCAAAGAATGAGTAGTGAGTTATCAGATGTTTTTATTTCTTATGCTGGAAATATTTTTATCATTGGTTCATTTTTCTGCTATGTTCCCCAAAAAATTTATCCAACCACATGAAATAATATTAAAGTTGCCCGCATTCTCTAGAAAAAACTAAAGAGACTTGTATATTCCATATTGTTCGTAAATATGATTTGATATTCATTTCATATGAACATAACTCTTGTTTGTTTTCTTTAGAATTTTCATCTTTCAAGTGTTTAGATGCATGGATTATTTTGACTTTTAAACACCTGCTTTGCAGAATTTTTTAGTATCGGGTCTCACTTGTGGTACTTCATGAGATTCTTTTTAGTTATCCCCTGTCGATCTATCCTCCTTGATGCTTTAACATTCATATAAAAAAAGGAACTTTACTGGGTGAGACTAACACAATTTAATGACGATATTCTCATTCTCCATTCTTATATTAACGTTGATGGGAATAAAAGTTTGTTTGCGTTGTTCGAAGTTTTCAGCATTGATGTCATGCACAACCTGGTTTCCCTTTTGTTCAAATAAGACTCATAATAACACTTTTATCTACATATTCAGTGGTGAGAGTGGAGCAGGAAAGACTGAGACAGCAAAAATAGCAATGCAATACTTGGCTGCCCTTGGTGGTGGAAGTGGAATAGAGAATGAGATATTGAAGACTAATCCAATACTAGAAGCCTTTGGCAATGGAAAAACATTAAGAAATGATAACTCAAGTCGTTTTGTAAGACTTCTAATTTATTATATCGATTCTTTTAGTTCATTTCTTCTGAACTTTGGTGCTGAAATCTCAATTTGATTGAATGTCACAGGGAAAGCTCATTGAGATTCACTTCAGTGAAACGGGAAAAATATCTGGTGCAAATATTCAAACATGTAGGTTTACACAGGATGTGATTGAAAATTTGTCTTTGCTTCTTTTATTTTCTAACTATTATGTTAACATTTGCAACTATGTATTGAATCCATGTGATGCTTCTGGCTTGGCTTGTTGACCATACCGTAAACAGTTTTGCTGGAAAAGGTATTCACGTTTTTGAGCTAGTTTCCATTCCAGTGTGTCAATTTTATGTCATTGACCTTTGTTTTACCATGTGAACAGTCCAGAGTAGTCCAATGCAACGAAGGGGAAAGGTCATATCATATATTTTATCAGCTATGTGCTGGAGCACCATCATCTCTTAGGGGTAAGTGCATTATTTTAGCTTATGTATCTGCTAATATATTTGTTACATAGGTGTGTTATTTTTAAAAATTTTACTTGAGGATGGCTTTGAAGAATGTGGAATTTCTCTTTAAATAGTGGCTTGGATGTTTTATTTTCAGAGAAGCTAAATCTACTAAGTGCGGAAGACTACAAATATCTGAGGCAGAGCAATTGTTATTCAATTACTGGTGTTGATGATGCAGAAGAATTTCGCATAGTCAAGGTATATATCTTTTGTTGTTTATGTATGATCTGTATCCACGTAGGTTTATATATGATTCTTTTACAGTTTCCATATTGACTTATGGTAACTCTGAAATAATAGCTTGACGTATGAGTTTGTTTATGCTATTGTCAATTTCCAGGATGCTCTGGATATTGTCCACATTAGCAAAGGAGACCAGGAGAATGTATTTGCAATGCTTGCTGCAGTATTATGGTTAGGAAACATATCATTTACTGTGGTCGATAATGAAAATCATGTTCAAGCTATTGAGGATGAGGGTAAGAATTTTCCATAATCTCTACTAATGGACTCTAAAGCACAGAATTTTTGGTGCTTGATAGGTTGCAGTTTACAAAGGGATACCTTCCTTTGTCACTGTATAGAAACTTTGCATCGATTTTGCATTACTATAACATTATATTTGCTTAATTGCAGTCTCGTACAAATAGATAGACTTTTGGTGCAATGTGTCCTGAGATCACAGGTTCTAGTTAGCCTATGTGGGTCTGACTCTTTGGTAGACCTGCTGCCCCTTTTAATACGGATAACAACTTAATGATTTGGTTATAATTAATATCTATTTTGACATAGTTTTTGGAACGACATCGCATACTTGCCCCTATCTAGCATTTGCAAATGCATTGGTTTTAACATGAGAAAGTTGCCATAATTCCACAACTTCTGTTTGGATAGTTTGCTCATTATAAAACTTACTGGTTGTCAAAACAAATTCTTTCTGGTGCTAGATTTTGGGTTTGGGTTGTCTCTAAAAAACTTTTGGTTTCACTCAGTATATTCTAGAGTGGAGTAGTTAGCATTTTATATTTTTTTTTACGAAAAAACCCTGGTAAGCTGAGCAGAAAAATGTGTTTTGAGTTTATTTGTTGTGAATAATGTAGCAATTTTCAATGATTTTATCTTCAAATTTTTTTCTTTGATATGGTTATTTGTTGATTTGCTGCACGTATATAATTTAACAACCAACCATGTAGTAGCTTCAACATCTTTTCATTTGCATATAATAACTCTTTACATGGTACACGCCTGATAACTAATTTCTAATGCATGTTACTTTTGACCTTATTTTAGATGACATGCATTATATGAAATTAATACCTCAATTAAAAACGATTTTTTATTTTTATTTTTTTTCTGACTTCTTGTAGGTCTGTTCACTGTTGCCAAATTGATTGGCTGTGAAATTGAAGACCTGAAGTTGACTTTATCAACTCGCAAAATGAAAGTTGGTAATGATAATATTGTCCAGAAGTTGACGCTCTCTCAGGTAAAATGACTATAGTTTTAACATTTACCTTTGTCTATAATTATGGTTAGAAAAAGTGCAACTTCTCAAGGGGCATGTTGGGTATATAAATTTATATTGAATTTCTCAATCAGCATGTCAATTCATTTAGTTTGTTATTACAAGGTAATAGAATGTTCAAGAAAAGGTTCATTGGTAATGAATATGACATCATTGAATTTTCCATCTTATAATTCCACCGAAGTTCTTACATATGAATGATTGTTGCTTTTCTTATCACGTAGGCTATTGACGCGAGAGATGCTTTGGCGAAGTCAATATATGCCTGTTTGTTTGATTGGTTGGTTGAGCAAATAAATAAATCTCTTGCGGTTGGCAAAAGACGAACTGGCAGATCAATCAGCATTCTTGACATTTATGGCTTTGAGTCATTCAATGTATGTTATATTATATGACAACGTTTCTATATTTAACATTTCTATCTCACTATCCTTATCCTGTTTGATTTCTGTTTTGAAATGTTTTCTCTGTTGAACACTGGATTTTATGCATGCAGAGGAACAGTTTTGAGCAGTTTTGCATAAATTATGCAAATGAAAGATTACAGCAACATTTCAATCGTCATTTATTCAAGTTGGAACAGGAGGTATGAGCCACATATAAACTGACTGTTGCTTAACGATGGATGAAGAATATGTGCATAGCATTATATCAGGCAAATTGAAAAATTTCATTCAATTCTGCAAGGTCCCATTAAAATGTGAATATAAATTCCACAACATTTTATTTTGAACTCTTGCCTCTCATGACCGTTCCCTGATCACTGTACACTAATTGAGTCCGCACTCCACACTAATTTAACAGAACCGCACACACTGACATGACCTACTAGGCTACTACTATTTCCCCATGATAGTGGTGGAAAATAGCTGGATACCAATCTTCCCCTTGTTCCTTAATGGGCTCATGTCAGTAAAGTCCCTCCAAATCTCCTTGTTCAGGACCACTTTACTCAACTAAGCACCACTATATTCCCCATTTGGGTGGTAGAAATTGCTGGATACCAATCTTAATTTCTTCATATATTGATGCAGTTTTAGAAAGCTGATGTTTAAACAAGTTCTCATTTAAGTTGATGGCCATAGAATGAAAGTTGAACGTACCAAGTGCCTTCTTATAAAATGAAAAAGAGAAGCTATGCGGCCTCTTATAATTAAACATCTGCTTATGCCTTTGTTACAATTTTGTTTCAGGAATATATCCAAGATGGCATTGATTGGGCTAAAGTGGACTTTGAAGACAACCAAGATTGCCTTAATCTATTTGAAAAGGTGCAGTGTTTCCTTGCCCCACTTTGATCTTTTCTATGTAATCTTTTGTATGTTTATTATCAGAATCAGAATATAAAGGCAATGAAAATAGGGAAAACTTAGCTAATATGTTTCTTCAGTGGGCCATATATAGTGCTTATATAAGCCATGCTGTTTGTTTCTGCTGTTATACTAAATATTTCGGGGATATGATTGTCATAGATGTTCTATAGAAGCTTTGTTGAAAGTTGCTGCTTTTTTTTGTCTTTTTTTCTCTTGTAATTCTGAAGCTTATCTGTTAGGATTTCGGAGTGAATTATGTTGAGTCATATTTCCTTAACTGATACTTATTTCAATGTTGATCCAAGTCCAACTATTAATATCATTTGTATTACTTGTGATGCTTTGTCCTATTTCCCTGACATATGGCACTGATATCATGGTGAATGTAAGTATAAATTTTTGTAGCTAATATTTTTCTTTTCTTTGTTGTGGATAAAACACTTATATCTATGTCCAATAAGAAGTTGGGAATTCTATTGTCTTAGACGTAGCTTCTGACATATGTGCAGAAACCACTGGGACTACTATCCCTCTTAGATGAAGAGTCAACTTTTCCTAACGGCACAGATTTAACGTTTGCAAACAAGCTTAAGCAGCATTTGATTTCCAATTCATGCTTCAAAGGAGAACGGGAAAAAGCCTTTACTGTGCGTCATTATGCAGGGGAGGTATTAATCTGGTCATTTTCATACAACATTCTATTCGTTCTATCTGTTTATGCAAAGTGCTTGTAAATTTTCTTAAGATGAATGCGTCAAAGATTTACATCGTCACGCATCCATTTTGACATTCTGGTGTGGGTTTTATATTGTGATACAACTTAGTTTTATGGATAGAAAGACACACAATTGCACTATATTTGAATCCACGCATTATTTCTAACCATAAAAACCATGATTTTGAATAACTTTCCTTGTTAATATTTTTGAATTCCCATATACTATCTTTTTTCTTAAAAAGAAAAAGTTATTTCTTGCAAATTTCTGTTTGCTCATCTGCTCTGACTGTTTGATAGTATCATTTGTTCTTCCCCAGGTCACTTATGATACATCTGGATTCCTGGAAAAGAACAGGGACCTATTGCATTTAGATTCCATCCAACTTCTATCCTCAAGCAAATGCCATCTTCCCAAGTTATTTGCATCCCATATGCTCACTCAGTCTGAGAAGCCTGTAGTAGGTCCCTTACATAAGTCCGGTGGGGCAGATTCCCAAAAGCTAAGTGTTGCCACAAAATTCAAGGTACATATTCTTAATTATGTCTTTCTCAAAAAACTTATCTTGAATTATTCTAATACTTTGGTGAAGTAATGTTCTGGTTTTCCTAGGCTTCCTTTCAATATGCTTTTAATGCTATCAATAGTTTTTCATATTGGTCAAACCATTCAAAGTATTGGATCAATGTATTGAAAAAGGACAGCCTGATCTAAATATTAATGATCCTAATAATTAGTATGACATGGCCTGTCAACGAAGATTCTCAAGATTAGTTCTTTTTGTTACAAATAATCGATTCACCTCATATTTTAATATGAAATGGTTAAATGACCAAAAGCAAGATGGTATACACATACTGACACTACTATTACGGTTTGTAAAAGTGAAAATGGAAGTAATGGAGTGGAATTTAGTGAAAGCAATGGATCAAAACATTCATTTTTTAAAATTACTTTATCAACTCTCTGCTTGGCCCATTCCACTCCTACCAAACACACCTTAAATATTCCGAGTTTTTTTATTTATAAATTGGTTGGGATATTTATCTTGCTTCAATTGATTTAGAGGTTATTTCTATTGGTACCCAGGGACAATTGTTCCAACTGATGCAACGTCTAGAGAGTACTAGCCCACATTTTATACGCTGCATTAAGCCCAATAATCTCCAATCACCTGGATCATATGAGCAAAGCCTTGTACTGCAGCAGTTGAGATGTTGTGGGGTTCTGGAAGTGGTTCGAATATCAAGATCAGGCTTTCCAACTAGAGTGTCTCACCAAAAGTTTGCCAGAAGGTATAATATCAGAAAAAAGAAACTATGGCGATTAATATGCTTTTAAATAGCCCCCCTCCCCCAGCCCGGTGCTTTTTGCAATTTTCTAACTCTTCTGTTATTGACTTGGGATTGGGAGCGGTAAATCAGATATGGTTTTCTTCTCCTTGAAAATGTTGCCTCTCAGGATCCACTTAGTGTCTCAGTTGCTATTCTTCATCAGTTCAACATTTTGCCTGAGATGTTTCAAGTTGGCTACACAAAACTATTCTTCCGAACAGGGCAGGTAAATAGATGTTTTAATTTTTCTCATAGTTTAAATTGTTGTTGTGGCAATGGATGTAATTATATTTATTTTATAGCATCAACAATTTTTTGGCTTTAACTATTTTTTTAACATAATTTTAAGAGTGAATTTCTTAGGTCCTGGGTTGTAAGATCCTGGAAAAAGATTACTCACACCGTCTCTCCTCCCAAATAACAGCAGCACAACTCAGGAAAATAATGATTATTGTATTCAAACACACCACAAACAGAATACAGTCCTCTGTCTTCCACAATCACAGGAAACGCTGATCCTGTCTACTTCTATTACAAAACTCTCTCTGTCCACTAACCCACCCATTACATGGTATATATAGCCTCCCCCTACGCAACACCTCTCATCCTATAACTAACTAACGGTTTAGTTAACTATTTATTTATTTATTTAATATTCTCTTCTTCCTAACATACACTTTTAACTCCCTATCATTACTCCCTCCAGCGTCAACAACCTTGTCCTCAAGGTTGAAGTCTGGAAATTGATATTTCATGGTAGATACATCTTCCCAGGTTGCTGCCTCAGGGCCAGCAAACTGCCACTGAACTAACACTTGAGGAATCGTTTCCCCTTTTTCTTCTGTCTGCACACTTCTCCTATCAATTATTTTGCTTGGTAAGCACATAGATGGGCTGCCCTGCAGATCCTTTGGAAGTTCTTTTTCAACTGCATGTGTCCCCACTACCTTTTTAAGCTGAGAAACGTGAAATACTGGGTGGATACGAGCTGTCTCTGGAAGTTGTAAGTAGAAAGCAACCTGGCCCACCTGTCGTAGTACTAGGAATGGACCATAATATCTGGCAGCTAACTTGGGATTTAATCTCGCTGGCATTGAAACTTGCCTGTGAGGTCTGATCTTCAAAAATACATAGTCTCCCACCTTAATGGAAGATGGCCTTCTGTGTCTGTTGGCAAACTTTGTCATCTGTTGTTGAGCTCTGTCTAAGTGAAATTTCAGCTGCTTCAAAGCTTCATCCCTGGCTAGAAGATCTTGTGCTACTGCCTCCACCGCTGTTTCACCTGACACAAAACGATGTAAGGAAGGAGGGGATCTGCCGTAAACTACCTCAAAAGGAGTGGTATTAGCCGCTCCATGGAAGCTAGTGTTGTACCAAAACTCAGCCCAGGGTAAAAACTGAGACCAAACCTTTGGTTGTTCTGAACTAAAACACCTTAGATACGTTTCGGGAGTTCTATTGAGGACTTCTGTTTGCCCATCCGTTTCTGGATGGTAAGTAGTGCTCATTTTGAGAGTGGTTTCCTGCAAATGGAACAACTCCTTCCAAAATAAACTCAAGAAGGTTGGGTCCCTGTCACTAACGATTGAGGCTGGTATCCCATGCAACCTCACCACTTCTTTCACAAACACTCCTGCCTTGCTTCTAGCTGAATATGGGTGCTTTATAGGGATAAAATGGCCATACTTGCTTAGCCTGTCCACCACCACCAATATTGCATCAAACCCATTGGACTTAGGGAGGCCTACTATAAAATCCATACTAATGTCTTCCCATATAGCATTAGGAATACGTAATGGCTGCAACAGTCCCTGGGGAGATGAGGCTAGATATTTATGTTGTTGGCATATCAAGCATGCTGCTACGAACTCTGTTACTTGATTTTTCATCCCAATCCAATAGAGGGACTGTGCAATCCTCCGATAGGTCCGAAAAACCCCTGAGTGGCCTCCTGTTGGTGTAGTGTGGTATTCTGCCAGCAGTTTAGGTATCCATTGAGAGGAAGCGGATAAAACTAACCTCCCTTTATGATGTAGTCGTCCCTGTTCCATAGTAAAATGCCCCTGTGCCCCTGGGTGGCTGATCAAATTCTGACATATTTTCTGAAGTGCAGGGTCCTGTTTAACTTCTTCTGTTAATGCCGGAAAATCTAACCAAAAAGGTTGGGATAGGACCCGTAACTCCTTATCCTCCTTAGTCCAGTCCTCCCATGTTCTGGACAATACATCAGCAACCTTATTGGATGACCCTGTTTTGTACACAATGTCGAATTCATACCCCAAGAGTTTTGCCAACCAGTTTTGTTGGTTCTGCGTGGTTATTCTCTGCTCCAATAAATACCTCAAACTCTTTTGATCTGTAAAAGCTGTAAACCTTTGACCCAACAAATAGGGTCTCCAGTGTTGAATGGCCAACACTAATGCCATAAGTTCTTTCTCGTAAACTGACTTGGTAAGGGATGAATCCGACAAAACTTTACTAAAGAAAGCAATGGGTTTCTTATTCTGAGATAAGACTGCACCTATTCCACTTCCTGAGGCGTCACATTCAATAGTAAAAGGCTGAGTAAAGTCTGGCAGCACTAAAACTGGGGCTGTTGTCATGGCTTGTTTGAGTTCTTCAAAAGCTTCCTCACTCTCCTTATTCCATTCAAAGTTTCCTTTCTTCAAAAGATTGGTCGGAGGTCGAGCTATTCTTCCATAGTTCTGTATAAACCTCCTGTAATACCCCGTGAGTCCCAGAAAACCCTGTAATGCCTTAATGGTTTTGGGCTTAGGCCATTGTTTAATTGCAGCCAGCTTCTCGCCATCCATCCCTACTCCTTTGCTGGATATCACATGCCCCAAGTATTTCACCTCCTGTCTACCAAATTCACATTTTTTTCTATTTGCATAAAACTGCTGCTGCAACAATGTGCTCAACACCTGCCTTAAATGATTTATGTGGTCCTCCCACGTTCTGCTGTATATCAGAATGTCGTCAAAAAAAACTAGTGCACATTGCCTTAACCACTTCTGAAGTATGGTATTCATGACACATTGAAATGTAGCTGGAGCATTAGTTAGCCCAAAGGGCATAACTAGAAACTCATAGTGCCCCAAATGTGTTCTGAATGCTGTCTTAGGTACATCAACCTCATGCATTCGTATCTGATGATACCCAGCCTTCAAATCCACCTTTGAGAAAAATTGTGCCCCATGTAACTCATCTATTAACTCCTCAATCACAGGGATTGGGAACTTATCTGGTACCGTAGCCTTATTTAAAGCTCTATAATCAATACAAAATCGCCAGCTCCCATCCTTCTTTTTGACCAAAATAACTGGGCTTGAGTAAGGGCTATTGCTGGGTCTAATTATGCCCATTTTAATCATTTCTGCTACCTGTTTTTCAATTTCAGATTTCAATAAATGAGGGTACCTGTAAGGCCTGACATTAACTGGGTTTTCCCCTTCTTTTATGGGAATCCTATGATCCACTGGTCTCTCGGGAGGAAGCTCCTGAACCTCCCGAAAAATATTACCAAACTCCTCCAAAACTGTCTCCAATTCAACCTTTTGTCTGGAAGATAAAAGCTTCTCCCTCTCTCCACTGTTCTGACTTTCAGGTATAGCCAATTCCCATAAAAAAGTCACCATCTCTATTTCTGTTTCCTTTAACAAGGCTTGGGGAGTTATCAATTTTTTTGCAAGGGTGGGGTCCCCTTGAATCCTGACCTACTGCCCTTTCCATTCAAAATCCATCGTCAACTTTTGCCAATTCATCTTCACGTCTCCTAGGGAAGCCAACCAAGTCATTCCCAATATTAAATCTACTCCTCCAAGCTCAAAGAGGAAAAATGTTTCTGACACTTCATAATTCTGCAGCTCCACTTGCACGTCCCTACAACACCCTTTAGTTATTTTCTTGTGCCCATCTCCTAACTTGACACAATAATGATTCGTGTCCTCCATTGGCAGGCCTAATTCTGACACCAATCTCGAAGAAATGAAATTATGACTAGCTCCACTATCAATCAAGACTAGCAATCTCTTTCCCTTCACGTAGCCCTGCAACTTCATTGTATTAGTAGGGGTTAGTCCTCCTGCCGAAAACAGAGACAACTCTATTCTGTTATTTTCCATTTCCCCCTTCTCTGTCTTTGTCCCTTCCTTCACGTTGTCTTCATTTTCATCTTCTGCCATGATAATCACCCTCAAGTTTTTCTCTGGACACTTGTGGCCTGGGCTATATGGCCCTCCACAGTGGAAACACCTTCCCTCTTCTCTCCTTTTGATGTACTCTGGGTATGGCAGGTTCCTAAAGCCCCTGTTACGAACTTCTCCCACTGAACTTCCCCCCATTACTGACGTTCCTAGCGCACCACCCTTCTCATTCCTGGCAGTGCTAATATTACTAGAAGTCGCCGGCGAGCTGCCAGCCCCTTGAAACGTCTCAGTTCTCGTCACCTTTCCTCCTCCTCCCTGTAAACAAAAACCTGTGTTCTTGTTTCGAAAAGAACTTCCTCCTATTGTATCAGTTTCTCTGGTGGCGTCTTCCACATCACGCGCTACCTCCATGGCTCTCAACAAATCTTTCGGGTCATGGGGACTTGTCTGTTTCCTGATTCCACTTTTCAATCCTGCCAGGAAATAACCTAGCAGTTGTTCTTCCTCCATGGCTGGAGCTTGAGCCACTAGCATTTCGAATTCCTGTATGTAATCCTCCACCTCTCCTTGTTTAATCGCTGCTAATCTCTCAAAGACTGTACTGCAATCTTTTCCCCCAAAACGTCTGTTCAAGGCCAGGGTAAATCCTTCCCAAGATGGGTTCTTCGTTTTTTGTTTCCAGAACCTGAACCAATGACTTGCGGTTCCCTCCATGCTAATGAAAGCCAACCTTAGTTTTTCCTTGGAAGTAATATTCTGGATCTCAAAAAAATTTTCAGCCCTTCCTATCCACCCCAAAGGATCTTCCCCTTCAAATGTGGGCAAATCAACCCTCTTCATCCACTGTCATTGAACCACCTCCTCTTCTTCATCTGAATCACCTCCACGTTCCTCCCTTCCTCCAATACCTCCTTTCACCGAATTTTCACTTCCCTCAGATCCCTTCTCACTCTTTTTGAATGTTTTAAACATTTCTTTCAGTTCTTGAATGGAATTCTTGACTTTTGCGTTTACTTTTTCTTGCTTGCTGGTCCATCTTTCTGCCCACCTTTCTAAAACTCCCAATCTTCCTTCCATAACGCCTCTAGGTTGAATCCGGCAGGTCGGACCAAACTTGTTAGGTCCTGGGTTGTAAGATCCTGGAAAAAGATTACTCACACCGTCTCTCCTCCCAAATAACAGCAGCACAACTCAGGAAAAGAATGATTATTGTATTCAAACACACCACAAACAGAATACAACCCTCTGTCTTCCACAATCACAGGAAACGCTGATCCTGTCTACTTCTATTACAAAACTCTCTCTGTCCACTAACCCACCCATTACATGGTATATATAGCCTCCCCCTACGCAACACCTCTCATCCTATAACTAACTAACTAACGATTTAGTTAACTATTAATTTATTTAATATTCTCTTCTTCCTAACATACACTTTTAACTCCCTATCAGAATCCGTGAACGAAATATTATCTCCGTTTACTTTTAGAGATTGTGTTTGTTGAAAGTCCCACATCGCCTACCTCATGTCATTTGGTATGGTTTAAATACATGTTAGGCTATTCCACATATTGCTAATTGGTTTTATGTTGGAACCTTAACATGGTATCAGAGCCAAAGCCTAACATCTTTCCGGTTATTGTCATGGGCCAAAAAGTTGCCCTTTAGTTGAGTCAAAAGTGTACCCTTTTCCTGCTCCGACAGGCTTCGTTGGAGGGGGTGTGTTGAAAGTCCCACATCGCCTATCTCATGTCATTTGGTATGGTTTAAATACATGTTAGGCTATTCCACATATTGCCAACTGGTTTTATGTTAGAACCTTAACATGAGACTCACATCCTGTGTCAATCACTTGTTTCGAACTCCGATCCTGTAAATACACAAAATTGTTGGTAAAAGTAACAACACAATCAAGAGAACGAGTTAGACGACTGTAGGACAACAGGTTAAAAGGAGACCCAGAGACATAAAAAACATTATCAATGATTAAAGAAGGAAAAAGTTTAACCGTTCCAACACCATGAGATGATACTCTAGAGCCATCAGCCAGTATAATAGAAGGTAAATGATTAGGAGAGGATAAAGAAGAGAACAAAGATTTGTTACCAGTAATATGATCAGTGGCTCCTGAATACAAAACCCAAGGACCAGGAGAAAATGATTGGGTCAGACTAGCAAAATATGTATTTGTATGTGTGACAGATATAGTGGAATTAGAAGACTGTTGATCCTTATACCATTCGAGAAATTTGTTGAACATAGCAGGCATGTTGGATGCAACAAAAGAAGGAGGATTCCCAGCAGATAAAGGTGGGGAAAGATTGGTCCGAACAATTGCAGCAGATTGAAGAGGACAACCATGTAATGTATAACACTTGTTAATCTTGTGACCTAGCTTGCCACAATGTTCACACTTAGGACGCTCTTTTTCCTGTTTGCAAGGGCGAGTCCGGTCATCACGATGAGATGTCAACACAAAAGAATCGTTAACAAAATTGGAAATATTAGAAGAAGTGGAAGAAGTCATGAAGAGCGGGAGAACAAACCCTAAAACAATCCAAAGTAATCTAATTAACCTACGAAGCACAAATCCAAAATGAGAATACTAAAAATAAGTTCGCTAAGACTAAACGGCGCAGGAGACAACGGGACGACCAACTCCGATAGTGGTGATCTCAACGACACGGTGGTCACCTGACCGAGACAAGCAAAATCATATGTCACCGGTTAAAAAAATGAAACTCCGGCGAATTCTCCGACAGCGGCAGATCCAGTGACTGCTCCAGCGGCAGCGGTGACAGCAACGTGAACCAGTACACTAGGTAAGTTCTCAGGAAAAAGAGGTGGGTCACTAATGGACACACTTAAATACCAAGTCTTTCTTTGCCAGAACTTTCCTAGACATGCACTTTCACACTACCAAATAAAATTCAGTAACAAAGATAATTCTTTTATGATGTGGAGGATCAGTTTACCAGCAGCGGTGGGGCGGCTCCATCATTGGACAAAAGGCGAAAATAAAAAAATTCAAGATAACCTTAAGCTCTAGATACCATGTTGAATATAGAGGAAATAGGGTTTGAAATTAATCTCCCTTGTGTATAAATCACACATAGGATAATATATTTATAATAGAGAGGTACAACTAAAAGAGTAACCAAAAGTAAACAGAAGATATTGTTTGATATTGTGGTTAACAATATCTAACAATATCAAACTATATCTAAACAATATCTAACAGTGTTCAACATCTTACCCAAGTATGGTATAGTGGATAACGAAGAAAAATTATATTAGTGATGTTATTGCGGTAGGGTTACAATCTAAGAATTATTTTTTACTTAAGCTATTGAATTTTGGGCTTTAGTAATTTGGGATATGAGTGAAGTGGGTGGGTGTCTAATTCTTTTCTAATCAGTTGGTTCCTTTACGCAGTTGTTATAACTTTAATGTGCTTTTTTTTTTCTCTTATGCATGGAAATATATACTATGTGTGATAAAATTGGCCCATGATATTCACAACCCCACCTTTTGATATTCCCACCCCACTCCTTTTTAGTAATTTTATCTATGGAAATTAATTATTGCGTGTCTTAACGAGATTACTCCATAAAAAGTTTTTTTTGACTATTTTGTCAATACTTAATGGAAACTTTCCCTTGTGTGCCTTGCCACTTTGTTTGACATTATCGGGTCTTCAAATATAAGATAGATTAATTATGTCTTTGTCAATTTTACCTTTTATTTTCAATGATTTGTTTAATTATTCTCAACATCAAACATTATTTAATCCTAATTTATGTCTTTGGATTGAGGTAGTTGGAATTGTTGTGACATATTTTGCCTTTTATTTTGCATGATAAAATGATCCATGTATTCAAGTCGGTCCTTGTTTTAAATATACTTTTGCATTGTATTTCAACTGTTGAAATAGTTTTTAGTTCGAAAGCCTAATTTTAATTAGTTACTCCTCTCTTTTGGATTGTGTATTTAAAACGCTGCGTTGACCATGATTGCAGATTGGAGTGCTTGAGGATACAAGAAATCGTACCCTGCATGGAATTTTACGTGTGCAAAGTTGCTTCAGGGGTCACCGAGCTCGTTGTTACTGCAGGGAACTTTGGAGAGGAGTCACCACTCTCCAATCATGTATTTCTTTTTCTAACCTATTTTTTTCAACTTTTCACATTCCTTAAGAAGTGCAACTACCTCACAGTAATATATACCTCTTCATGCAGTTATTAGAGGAGATAAAAGCAGAAAGGAATATGCAGCTTTGCTTCAGAGACATAGGGCTGCTGTTATTATACAGAAGCGGATGAAAACAGTACTTGCAAGAAACAGAATGACAAGTATTAACGATGCTGCGGTTGTCATACAGTCATGTAAGAGTTTTATGCTCTCAAAATACATAGATGTGTTACTCATTATTTTGTTTAAAGTAGTGTTAAAGGATAAATTGAAGTCAGAAAAAAATGTTTGGACAACTGCCTTTTAAGTGGTGTTGGACAAATTTTCATTCGTTTTACCGGCTTTTACAGTTATACGTGGTTGGTTAGTCAGAAAATGCTTAGGAAACATTGGATTATCAAAACCTGGAGTCACGAAGGTATTATTTTTCTAATTTCAGAAACTATATTTCAAAAGGATTGTTGTCATGGATTGCTTGTAAAATTTTCATATTTGTGATACTTATAATAATGAACCTCTGAAACAGATTAATGAGTCGGATGAGGTTCTGGTGAAGTCGTCTTTCCTGGCTGAACTACAGCGCCGGGTACTTAAGGCAGAAGCTGCCCTAAGAGAGAAAGAAGAGGAAAATGACATTCTTCACCAACGCCTTCAACAGTATGAGAGCAGATGGTCTGAATATGAACTAAAGATGAAGTCCATGGAAGAAGTATGGCAGAAGCAAATGAGATCCCTACAATCTAGCCTCTCTATTGCAAAGAAGAGCCTCGCTATGGATGATTCTGGAAGAAATTCAGATGCTTCTGTTAACGCAAGTGATGAGAGGGATTTCGGCTGGGATGTAGGAACCACTCACCGGCGCCAAGAAAGCAATGGGGCAAGATCTATGAGTGCTGGTTTGAGTGTTATAAGTCGGCTGGCTGAAGAATTTGAGCAGAGAAGTCAAGTGTTTGGTGATGATGCTAAGTTCTTGGTAGAGGTAAAATCTGGTCAAGTTGAGGCAAGTTTGAACCCAGATAGAGAGCTCAGAAGGTTAAAACAGATGTTTGAAGCCTGGAAAAAGGATTATGGTGCAAGACTACGTGAAACAAAGGTCATCTTACATAAACTTGGAAGTGAAGATGGATCAATTGAGAAAGTGAAGAAAAGTTGGTGGGGAAGAAGGAATAGTACGAGAATAAGTTGATTTATTAATTTTTTTTCTTGGGGTCTGGGTTTGGTCTATGCACTGTTTTAAGGGCATTGCATTGCCAACTATATATCCGAAAATGAGGAAAAATACAATAGGAAAGATAAGAAGATAGGAGTAGGAAGAATGAATTACTGGTTATTGTAATTAGGTTAGCTGTTGCTAGCCGTTTTTATCAGAAATTTCTGCACGACGTGCGGAATTCGATACTCAATACCACCCTTGTGATTCATGTAAATCTTCAGTACGTGAATTGCATGTAAAAAAGTAGCGTCTTCTGATCAATGCACAGGGAATGGATATTTCCAAATTTAAGTCAAAGTTGAAGACAATACTGAAATTTAAATAGAAAATTATAAAAATAAATTATTTAAATTATGATATTATTTATTTATTAATTTTATAAGATATGTTAAAATTTAAATCAGAAAATCTATTTATGATTTATTAATTAATATTATGATAATAATTTTAAAATGAAATTTATCTTAAAATTATACACATTTTCAATTTAATAAAGTATGTCTAAATTTAGATTTTAAAACATAATCTAAATTTTATAAGGATTAAAAATAATATTTTATAAGAGTTAAAAATGCCAATAAAATAAGACCAATACTCAAATGATAAACATAAAATGTAATCAAAGCAATAATTCAAATAGTTTGCAATTATTTATAATTAGTAAATTCTAAATTTCAATTTTTATTATATATATATATATATATATTTTAGGATATTTCCAATAATAATAACTTAGATGTTTTTTATTTAAAATAAAATAAAATAAAAAATTATGATGATATATATTTTTAAGTATTTTTAAAAATTTTAAAATTTTTTAAAAAAATATTCTAATTTTTTTAATAAAAAAATTTATTTAATAAAATATTTAAATAGTTATTTCAAATAAAGTTATTTTAAATGCTTAAATATTTTGATAATTATTTTATTAAATAATTTAAAACAAAAAAATAATAATAAATTTTGTAATATTTGACATAATAAATTTATATTTTATATCTTTTTAAGATAAAAATTAAGTTATAAATTATTTAATAAAAAATTATAAAAAATATAAATAATTTCCAGGAAAGATGTTTGAAGTAATTAATAAACATGAGTTTTTTATTTTTTTCTTGAAAGAATATTGGGTCGTAATATGAGCCAAGTTCCCGACCCGACCCATTGGACCCCCATAACCAATTATCCTTCCCATTAACGAACAACCATTGACGGTGCAGTCAGTGGCAGAATGACAATGCTGGGTGGAGGCGTCTCTCGTGCTATTTCCCACCATTTTCGAGACTGCGACCTCCATTTCCACTTCACACTCACTTACTGTGCTTTTCAAACTTTCCACCTTTCATCTCCACGGCTCCTCAAATCTTGCTGGCCAGACATCGCCATTACTCAGAAGCACAACAGAGTGTCATCAAATTACCGCTGCTTTGGCACCCCATCTAAGCCTCCTGGAGAAATTCCTCTCCTTTTCGATTGTTTCAGGTTCAATTCTTCATTTTATCAAATGGGTTTTGTTTTTCTCCTTCTTGGTAGCTGGTGTTGCGATGGAAACGCTGCTTGGTTCATCTCTTAAGATTACAAAGTAATAACAATAACAAAACTAAGGTGTACTTTTCAAAGGTTGGTCATTTGGTATGAGCTAAACAAATCTCTAGGCGTTATACTTAAATGTGGTTGCTATAAAATTCGTAAGTTGAGATAGGGTATTCGGTTAACATTATTTGTTGATCCTTTGATTTACCCCGAAGTTAAACGTTAAAGGTTCTCCATGTCCGCGGAATGAGTTGCCGCAAACATGCCTGATTATAAGATTGCAGAGGTTGTGTTTGAATAAACTTCTCAATAAGCTAAAACAACAGACAAAATGAATGTAACTTCTTTCATTGGTTAAAATTAACTTATTCACTTTTGGTTTTGGAGAAATTAGATGAAGAAACTTCTATTGAATAAGTTGAAATTCAACACATAGGAGAGATTTAATTCCCTTACTTTCTTGCATTTTTTCCTCTCTAGATACTTGTTGAGAACTTTATTCAGTCATTACTGAGTTTTATGTGCTTATCATTTATTACTTTGTTCATTGAATATTTTAATCTTACACAGGGGGAGAGAGAGAATTTACATGAAAGTTATTAAAAACGATCTATATGTCTTGTGGAAATAAAAAACCACCAATAAAGAGCTGTATTTTTTTGTGTTTATCAATTATCTGTCTGCTTTAGTCAAGAATCTGATTCCTTTTTCTTGCGTGAAGTCAACAACGAGAAGATGAACGTGAAATTCTCTCTGATGGAACATCTGCCGTGGCAGGTATTTAGTCTCTTCCATCTGATGCCTCTTTGACCATTTTTCATTTGAGTGTCTAACCCTTTAATTTGCATCTTGTGTTCTTAGAATATCCATATTGTTTGGAGGGGAATAACACGCTTTTTCCAAAAAGTAAAAGAAAAATAAACATGATTGATGATATTGTGGAATTGGTTCTGTGATTAACCATGTCAATAGTTTTTTATAGTTGAGGTGTTTGTCCTGTTGGACTTTCCCTTAGCTTAGTATCATATTTCTTCCTTAACTTTGTACATTTTTTATTCTTTAGGCTATTTATGGTCAATTAATCATTCTGATTTTACTATTTGCATATGTAATTCTCGTCATTCGCTTGCTATATTTGTTAAAGTAGTATTGCCTACTTCATTGTGTAGAGAGAACTAGTGAAGAAGAACATGCAGAAAACAGAGTTTTCATTTTGGAAGTTGGGATATATTTTATTTGCTGTTATTGATTCTTAATCATTAACAGGTGGAATTGTAGCATTGGGAAAGTTTGATGCTCTGCACATAGGTCATCGAGAACTCGCAATTCAAGCATCAAAAGCTGGACCTCCATTTCTTTTGTCATTTGTTGGCATGGATAAAGTACTTGGTTGGGTGCCTAGGTATGACATAACATATGTTGGTATCAAGACAATTTAGATTTTTACTTATTTGTTTATATGGGTGGAAAATGTGCTTGGCTGTTGCATTCATATAATCGGATCTTATGCTTTTGGCTAGTTGGTTAAATAATTATTTGTACTAATTTTTCAAGTATAGGAAAAGTTTCCTGTATGGACTTGAATTTAGCAGTGGCACAAAGGTACGGTTCTCACCTTATGACCCAGAGGTCACTGTTTGAATCCTGAGAACAATGTATCCACTTGCAGGGGTAAGGTTCTGTACATCTACCCTCCTGAGGCCCCATTTGATTGGCGGGGGGGGGGGGACTGTGCCCTTGATCACCCTTCAAACAATCCTTGGCACACTTTTAAGTTGCTACCTTGTGACTTGGAAGTCACAGGTTCAATCCTGGAAAGTCTATTCAATTGTGGGGGTAGGTAGGACTATGTACATTTATGCAACCACACTAGGTGGAGCTTCATGCGTCAAAATGCCTGTTGGCCTTGCCTCTAATGCATAAGATGTTGGGCATTGGAACCAATGCTCATGCTGAACTTAACTCATGTCAGTGTACCTCATTTTACTGTTGCGTACGAATCATAGAGTGGAATAACATTGATCACGGGCAGACAGACATAGTATTAAAGTGATTAGTGAGCCTTTCTTTGCTATTTGGGGCTTCAGATTTATAATCATTCCTCTTTTTCCCTGTTTGAATAATGAATGTTAGAGAAACTATTATAAACTCAGATGAAGTTGGCTTACTGAACTATGCCTGAGAAGGATGGCATTGACATTTTACTGTTGTCATTGCATTAATTTACCCATCGGGCAGAGTGAGTTGGAAATGAATATAGCATTTGCATTTCCCTTTAAGGAACACAATTATGATAATTATAAGTATTTAAAGACATTCTCCTGATGTTTGGTCTTCATTTTTTAAATCTTTTGGGTGGTTATATGTATGAAGGATGCATTATTTTACTATGGTTGTTTAAATAATTCTTGACATAATTTTGGTTAATATATAAAATTATAATTTGTTTTTATATTCTGAATTACTGGGATCAGGTATCATAATTGTTGTCTCCTTGGGTAGAATAACGTATATTTTGTTAATCTTTCAAGCAGGGCTCCTATAGTTGCTAAATGTGACCGAAAGCGAGTTCTTTCATCTTGGGTTCCTCATTGTTGTAACAAAGTCCCAGAAGAGTTTCGGGTTGAATTTTCAAGTGTACGACATCTCAGTCCACGACAATTTGTTGAAAAGTTATCGAAAGAGCTCAGGGTTCGGGGAGTTGTTGCTGGTAAATGTGTAGCTCTATAAACATATACAAACCTTTCATTATTATAACATAATTTACTGGTATTGGCTATTATTATAACATAATAGCTACATTAACATGATTATTCTGTTACTGATTCTGGAACTTCTGGTAGGTGAGAACTACCGATTTGGGTACAAAGCTGCTGGTGATGCGTTGGAGTTAGTAAAGCTTTGTGAAGAGTATGGAATGGAAGCTTACATAATAAAATCTGTCATGGACAAGAACCGTTCCTCTGCAGATATGAATTCTGTCACTAACCCAAAAGAGAAGGGTCAGGTCTCGTCCACACGTGTTCGCGAAGCCCTTGCCGTAGGGGATATGAAGTATGTGTCAGAGCTTTTGGGTAGGCCACACCGGCTCATATTTATGGCCACTGACCAAGAAAGCTACAGTACTGGGCAGTATAAGATATCTGCTTCTAGATCCTGCATATTGAATCTACCACCAAAGGAAGGTTTGTATGAGAAGTGTTCACTTTTGCATGATCAGGAAAATGTTGTGCAGTGTAGAGTAGTTATTGACAGCAAGTTTGTGCATATAGAAACAGATTACGGAGGTCTGAGTGATATTTTTGATTCTCAAAATTTGCAGTTCTTGCATATTGAATTTGGTGATTCCGGCACTTGATTCAGTTTAGATAATTATTTCTAATTAAAGTTATAGTCTTCTGAATTAGAGATGATTTTTTTCCATCCCCCAAGTGCCCCAGATGAAACTGCCGAATCTAAAGGTTTGTTTGTATAAGTAGGTATACATACATACAAACAATACATTTTACCTTTCTTCCCTTCCACCCTCTTCATTATGCCTCCAAACAAAGTGATGAAATTTGATAAAACTCAATTGAGGAGGAGGGAAATTAAAAGTGTTATAGGGCTTGCTTAGAATATATGAGACTATGTTCGGGTAGATTATAATAACAGCTTTTTTGTATCCAAATAAATAAACAAAATTACAAATCTTAATTCATCTGCTTTACTCATATTTAATTTTTAGATATGATTCATCAGTCAATTGACATCAAAATAAAGTATTATATATATATATATATATATATATATATATATATATATATATATATACACATTTTTAACAAAATATCTATTAAAATAAATAATAATTAAAAAAATCATAAACTTGAATATTTAGTCAGATTTTACTTTTAAAGTTAATTGATATTAAAGAAAATTGTCCAATAATATATAAATTGAATCAGCCAAAAACACTAGTTAATTTTATAATAAAGTAAATGAATAAAGCCTTCTTTAATTTTTTTTGAATAAACTTTTCACCTATATCTTGAGTTTTCGCCAATATAGAATACGATGAACTTTCACCCTAATTCTATAATTCCCAAATGCAAGTTATGTTATTGATTTTACAACATATTGGGGAAAAATTATTTACCGTTTATTTAAATTATTATATAACATAAATGTTCTTTTATCATAGCGTACAAAATTTCGTAAAAGAATTCAAATTCGTTTTACTCATTTTGTTTGTGTAAGTATTTTAAAATACTTGTAAATTGTGTTCATAAACTATTCTAATAAATTTTCAGGATAGTTTATGGAAATATCTCACAAATTGTATAAAAATTTAAATTATAAAAATAATTTATTTTGTAAATCCTTAATTAAATTAGTATTTATTTTTCGTAAAAAAATATAGTATGTACGTATTTGATCGGAGTGGAGTATTATCTGGCGTTAAAACCTACTCTGAGTCTTGGATGACATGTTCACCCTAAAATTTTGAAGGCCCCTCTGGAAACGACGTCGTGTGCGGCTTGCTTCTCTAGAAACGCGATTCGTGAACATCGGTGACCTGAATCGTGTTCGTCGCAGGTGGGTTTCGTTTTCATAAGCTCCCACTCCTTTTCGTCTAATTTTGTAAGATACGCAGTCTTTTGCATTGTTCTATGGATGAATTACGAAACGAGGTTAATGCGGTTCAATCATAATCATACATTGATTATTTGCAAAACAAACAAGCTACAGAAAGATTGTCAAATTCTCACAAAGCCATTTCTATATTGTAGTCTTTTCCTTGCTCTGTGATGTATTACTATTACTATTATATCCTGTTTGTTGTTCCATTGCTTAAATATGTTTTAGCAACGCAACAAGTAAAGTGTGTTCTTTAAGTTCTTACTTTCAATTATTGGAATTGAAGTTTGCGGGTAGGTGAAGTGAAGCTGTGTTTCTTCAACATAAGATTACTTGTTTTTCGCTAGTTTTCTATTTTTGAAATTATTTGGTCAGATTATGTGATGAGTTTTGGGAATTTTCAGCTTCCACTTTGTTGCCAGTATGTATATTGTATATTCACTCAAGTCATACTTTTTATTTTCCGTCTACTGTAGAAAATTCAGTGTATGGAATTAAAGGAATGAATAATACGCTCATGCTTTTGAACAATGCTTTTTGATTTAATGGGTTATGTAGACATTCATGAAGATTGAACTATAATGGCTGATTTGTAATCTTTTGTCTGAAACTATGATTTCAAGTAACAAATTTTTTTATGTGGAGAATATTTGAACTTCTTGAGAGTTTGTTTTTAGCCATATCTTTCTTATTCGGAAAATTATTTTGCCTTAATTCTTCGTTGAGTCTTTGACTTCTACTTCTTGCTGCTTTTCTACAACTAAAGTAGAACTTTTACTTCGTTGCCATTTTAATTTTAATGCAAATAGATGGCAATTGCAAGAACAACTTCGAAAAGTAATGATATTTACACATAAGAAATCTTACATGATTCTTTCACATTCTCTCGTAGACAAGAAAAACACATTTGAATATCTATCTTTCTTCTCTAAAAATTGTAAGTTTAAAAAAGTGTGGAGTAAATATACTTTCATTAATTTTTCTTTTGATTGCAGCTGTAGAGTAAATAGCCGTAGCTGGCAGGATCTGTGTAAAATGCTGCTACGGAGAATTGTTGCTGCATGTCCTCAGTCAAAGCGAATGTTCAGCACTTCTGCTAGCCATGGCTATGAAAGTGCTATTCAGGAACTCAACAAGGTAAAGTCTTTCTTTGCTGTGTTCTGCTCGAGTTAAATTCAGTGTCTTTTCTGTTTTTGGCACAAGTACCTATATAAGACATGTCTTAATAAATACAGAGAAGTCAATGACTTAATAGTCTAGTACAGTGCAAAGAGTTTAAGTTCACTTTCTCAACATCGTACTAAGAAGTGGTGAAGTCATTAAAATATAACAAATTTCTGTGTGATTTCTATTTTACTATTCAATTTCTACTATGAAGGTTGTGCTCCACCAGTACACGGAAATGTTGGTGGAATTACTGCAATCCATATTAAATTAATTATTTCATTTCAGGAAATGGAATCGGTATTCGGTGAACCTCCTGCAAATGGACTAGCTACCTCTGCAAGCAATTTGACCAATGAAACGCAGTTGTCATCTCCAAACATAGCTGAAAGTTCTTTTGAATTGACTCATACTGGCAAATCAGGGGAAGCTCAAATGGTGGACGTGTCTCCAAAAGAAAGTAGTAAAAGAACTGCCATTGCTGTTTGCAAGGTAATTCTTGGAAAGAAGGTCTTTGATTTAGTATTGGCCAATCAAATGGCGAAAGGAGATGTGCTTACTGTGGCAAAAATAGCCGGCATTACTGCAGCAAAGCAAACTAGCAGTCTTATTCCATTGTGCCATAACGTAAACCTTTCACATGTGCAAGTGGGTTTGAGATTGAATCATGAGGATTTCAGTGTAACAATAGAAGGGGAAGCTGCATCAACAGGTAAAACCGGGGTTGAGATGGAAGCAATGACAGCAGTGTCTATTGCAGGTTTAACCGTGTATGATATGTGTAAGGCTGCTTCAAAAGAAATAGCTATTACAGATATAAGACTTAAGCATAAATCTGGTGGAAAAAGTGGAGAGTACTGGTGGACACAATGATGGTTTTACTATTCATTCCAATGGATAACGACAATGCCAAAATGCTATCCTATAGATAGTTTTCCTCACCAGCATAACTCTGCATGGTTTTCCTGTAATGGGATGCATAAGCTTGGGGCAAGCTTTAAGTACATTTTAATAGCTGAGCTTTCACCCACCATGGTAAACATTGTCAAATTTCTTCAACCAAAAAATACCAGGTTTCAGGTCAAATATCTTAAATTTAATATAAATATAATATATTATTGGTGTAGAAAAACTATTAAGGGATGGGATATAATAGTTAAAAAAAGTAGGAAAGAATGTATATGGATATGATATGCTCTAATTTTCACTTTCAAGCATTTCACTATTACTAAGATTTTGCATTGAGAATATCATTGTGTTAAAAAATTAGAGTAAAAACGTTTTTGTTCATTGTATTCTTAGCTAGTTTATGTAGGCTTTTATTTTACTTTTTGTTATGAATTTGTTTAACTCGCCCTATATGTTCCTTTCAAGCTTCCTATAAGATAAATGTGCAGTAATGCACTAAATAAGTCAATAGGTAAATATAAATAATAAAAGTGAAGCAACATGTGATATTTATTTAGAAGAAATCTTATTTGTACAACTAATTATACGAAAGTAATTTTTAGAGTTTTTTTGTTTGTGTATTAATATATGAAATATATTTTAATAATATTTTTATTTATGTAATATATATAAAATAAAATTATTATGGAATATTAAATATTAATAATATTTTAATTATAATTGTCTAAATTAAAATAATAATTCAATATATATTTTTTTAAATAATAAAAAATATTTTAATATCTAATTTAAATAAAAAATAATAAAATAATATTCTTAATATTAACAGAGAAAAATAAAATAAAATAAAAGAATATAAATTGTAATACATGATGTTGTAGAACACATATATAAATTACATTTTATATATTTTATTTTATTGTATATTTTATTATTTTAACTAAGGAAGCATGATTATATGCCAATAAATACAAGTGGTCGGTTGCTAAATGATGTGATGACGCACAAAAACTGAATAATAAATCTTTAAGCTCAAAATACTTATAACTAAATCCAATTTGGGAAGCCTTAGAAGAAGTATGATTTGATTTTGTTATTGTGTAAAATGAGAAAAACATGGCTGGGTAGCGGTGTTGGTGAAACAAGTTAGTTGGCAGGGTATTGGACGCAAATTTGACCACTCTCATTTCTTATCATAAGATCAAACATGTCAACTGATGCAACAAGAAAAAGGTCTTGAGTTGAAGTCCAATGTTACTTTATTTATATATATATATATATATATATTATTTTTTTTCCACCGACTTTCTTTTTGTTTTAAAATGATTCTGAATTTTGAATTTTCTTCGATCTTATCCGAAGGATAGGCGTTTTGATGGACCGTTATATCTGTCGATCCAATATTCTGGGATAACGAGTAAATTACAAATATTTTATAAAAAAAAATACATGTGAATTACTTTTTGAGGGGCAAATAGGTACTTTCACAGTGATGTGTCTCATCCCTGTTTTCTCGGAACCACGAGTTATAGGGCCCAGTAGATGTCGTGTGATGGTGGACTTCATTCTGGTGATGCTCCGCCACTTGGCTGAATCTGGTTGGTCCATTCTTCATCACATTCACAATTTGACAATCACTTTGGCTTTTAAACGTTGAATCACTTTGGGTTGCGAAGAGGGTTACATAGTAGGATGCCCAATTCGTAAAAAAGGAAGCTTTAGCAGGGTCGGTGTGTTCACACTTCCGATCCAATAGGGCTGTCAAAACGACGACGTTGGCAGCCCGTTTCTTTGGAGATATACATTCATTCATACGTTCCCAGTTTCCTCTGTGAGGTACATTCTAAAGGAATAATCTTTTCTGCAACCGAATATCCCTATTCTGTACCCTACCCCACCTTTTTTCTATTATTCACATATTATTATTGTTATTATTATTCGCTCCGCGTATTTTCTACGTGTGATTGCTTGTGCACGTAATTTTCTTTCTTCTGCCATTGGGCAGTAACCCCACCTACCCTTTTTATTCTTCCTTCATGGGTTCTCTTTGTTTTCCTTTAAGCATTGTTCTTTCCTCTGAAATTTGGTATTGACTCGCAATTCCCATTTTGGGTCTGGAATTTTGATTGCAGATAGGGTCAAGGGTTGCTTGCTTGCTTGCTACTTAGTGGTGTTATGCTGTTGGTTTCATAAGCTTTGCGTTTGGTAGAGTTGAGTTGAATAGGGTTTCTGCAATGAGTTCGTTTTCTGGTGCCATTCAAAGACCGCTTGTGGCGGCGGCTGCGGTTGCTGTTGCTTCTTTCTCTGCTGATGTATCTGATAAATTGCCATTCCGTGGATCATCACGTGATTGTTCTACCTCCGATTTGGCGCATTCTGCATCTTGTAGCAACGTACAAGAATCAGATTTATCATGGGTTTCTCATATTTCGGATTCAAAACTTGCTAACCTCTCTTTTGTGACCCGAATTCCCGTGCCTGTGCCTAATGTTCAGTTTCGGGTGCCAAGTTTGGGTCACAACTGTGTTTCAAATTTGCACCATTCTTCAGTTGTCTCGTCACCACTTCTTCAGAGTTTGTATCACTCTGCTGACTTCCCTAAGGTGTCAAGGCCTGCTACGTGTTCCCATGGCGTCTCCAATTCAACTTCCGAGGTCATGTATAAATGGCATTTGCCCGACCCGAATGCTTTATGTGATTCAAATTGTTCATTGACAAAGTCAAGGACAGTGGTGGTCTTGCTGGGATGGTTGGGAGCAAGGCAGAAACACTTGAAGAAGTATGCGGAGTGGTACACCTCAAGGGGGTTTCATGTCATTACCTTTACATTTCCAATGGGTGAGATCCTCAGCTATCAACCGGGAGGAAAGGCTGAGCAAAATGTTCATCTGCTTGTCGACCACTTGGCTGAGTGGTTAGAAGGGGAAAATGAAAAGAATCTTGTCTTTCACACTTTCAGCAACACTGGATGGTTAACGTGAGTGAACTGTGTTATTTGCTAGCATAGAATTTGGCAGTGTTCTTCTATTATGTTTGTTGATTGGTTTGGTACTCATTGCTGCAGATACGGTGTTATTCTTGAACATTTGCATAAGCAGAATTCAGCTATCATGGGAAGGATTAAAGGCTGCATTGTAGACTCCGCACCTGTTGCTTACCCTGACCCACAGGTAGCTGTTTGTTGTGTATATTTCCTATGCTGACTTTTCCTTCTCTAGTTTTCGTGCTATTATTTGCTACAATGTCTATGCATTGCTGTCCTGGATCTCCCACTATCAAGATGATCAAATAATTGCCTTGTTGAGTTATAATACATTGATCAATTGAGAACTTGGTCTTTGGGTATTGTTTGATTTCTTTAACATTTAAAGAATTAAGACATTAACATTTAAACATTTGGCTGATATCTTGGACTTTTTTCTGTTTTATTTGGCCTTTTTTCTTAGTGTTGGATTAATTAAAGAGAACAAAAAAGAAGTTATGTTAATCTCTCAGTTATTTTGAAGCCCTGAAGCATCTTTTTATATTTTAGGTTTGATTAAAATGACTAAACTAATTCCTGGTTTCTGTTATATTCTTTTCTCTACTAATCCTGGTTTGAGAAATGTTGAGGCTTTATGCAAAATTCGAAGATATGATTTTAATTATCTGATTATCATTTCAGGTGTGGGCCTCAGGTTTCTCTGCAGCATTTCTCAAGAAGAATAGTGTTGCAACAAAAGGACGTGTATTTTCCGATGAAACCGGCATTAAAGTATCAATTGGCAGTGAAGATGATTTAGGACTCAAACCCGCGGTAACAGAAGCAGCTTTGCTACTAATTCTAAATAAATTTTTTGGGGTCATTCTGGATCTTCCTTCAGTGAATAGGTATTGATTCATTCTTTTTCTTCTACCTGATTGTTTTTGGGAAAAAATGGTCATATTTCATCCCAATTCTTGCTTGTTTTTATTCTTGAAATTTGCTATTTTATGTGGGTATTTGACCATGGTTGATAAGATCAAGTTGATAAAAAAACTGTCACGACCCTCGAATGGTTGGGCAATATTATCATATGTATGGAGATAGATTCAAATGTTCTAAAACAGGAGTATATAAAATTACTACGGTAATAGGCTTTTGAGAAAGAAAGTGATATCTTGCAAATTGCACTGCCCTTTCTAAAATTTAACTTCATACACATGCAAGGTTTTAGCAAATTTCACTGCTGGAAGTATGTATGCATGTGATTTGTGGGAATAGGAGAACAACATTCCATGGGGTAATGGTATGGTCTTTCTGGTGTTGATTCCCGGGAAATGACCAGTAGTCAGATAGATAAAGATTCAATGTTTGTTTACATGTATGAATTTTTTGGTTAGATGTTTGTTTCATCTAAAAACAGTGATCATGGCAATTTCCAATATGACAACTTAGCTACTAACTGCAATGATTTTGTTCAAATGCAGGAGGCTTTCCGATGTTATGAGCATGTTATCATCAAAACAACCAAGCTGTCCACAGTTATACATGTATAGCTCTGCTGACAGGGTTATTCCTGCTGATTCAGTGGAATCGTTTGTAGAGGCTCAGCGAATGGCTGGACATGATGTGAGGGCATGCAATTTTGTGTCCTCACCCCATGTTGACCACTTTAGGACTGACCCAAAATTATATACATCTCAGCTCAGTCAGTTTTTGGAGGACAGTGTTCTAAGCCATTGTAAATCTCACTAATTGGCTTACTCATACACCATATAGTTCATTACTTTTGATTTTTGAAAGCAACCATTCTTTTAATGGGTCGTTAGGACTATATCAAAGGCCAACCACCTCTAAAGGATTGCAGATTGTTCCTCTAAGATTATTATTATTGATTCATTCATTGTTAATATATGATAGTGTGAATGAAAAACATATTACACAGTTGTTCCCTGACATTCATTGATAAATTCATAGTGGAAATGAAAGAGATTGCAACTTACTCTTCAATTCTTCTTTTACCTTGGGTGGATGGAAAAGTTCAATATTTTTCATATCTGAGTAATGTGATTGGGAATATAAAAATGGAAAATTAGACACAGCAAATGGATTGTGAATTTTTAGATAAGGGATTTGTTGCATATTTGAATAGGCATTTGAAATTTTTTTATAGATTTAAGTTGGACTTATGTTAATAGTGTAATATGTTCTATTTAAATTTTCAAAAAAATCGTATCAATTATTTTACATGGATGGTTGCCCTTGCTCTTCATGTGGAAAAACATGTTGAGTGCAGACTGTGTCCAAGGAAATGTTGTGTATGTTGGGGAGATTAAATAACAGTCCACTTAAATGACGTCAGAAGTCATTGTAATACCATAATCTATTAAATCAATTTAAACTATACACTAAAATAGTTTAAGTCTATCATCTACTATTCACTTCATAACTACGAAACTCTTCATTTGTAACCTTCTAAGATATTTAAAATCATTAAACATTTATTTATCAATTATTGAAAAAAAAATTAATAGTTCACAACACTAATGTATTTTGTTTATCATTTATCGAAAAAAAAATCATAATTAAGAATGTTTTCTAATAAATAATGGGTCTTAGAGCATCTGGATTAGTGTATAGCAGAAGCAATTTTATAGATGTGCACAAAAAACGATGCTCACTTAAAAGTAAAGAAAAGACATTAGCGACACTAGTTAATAAAACGATGCTCACTTAAAAGTAAAGAAAAGACATTAGTGACACTAGTTAATATTTTATGTGGTCGAATGTCTAAATAATATTTACTTTTATTAATTATTATTTTCAAAATTTAAGATAAGATTAATTAATTAATTAATTATTATTTATATGTATATATTTTTTAATTAGTTTGTATATATATATATATATATATATATATATTATGACTTTAAAATAAAAAAAAGAAAATCTTATAAATATTTTATTAAAGTAAAAAATAAATAAACTATAATATGAAGTGAAGATGTAGAAGGCATTATCACGTAATACGCTTCGTAGTTCATAACAATCACTCCACACTGCATCTGCATCTGCATCCAACACTCTCTTCTGTTCTCTTCTTCTAATTTCCCAAATCCTGGGTTAGGGTTTCTCTGCGTCAATGGCTTTGAATTCGATCCACGGCGACGCCGTATTGGGATCCAACCTCTGCATAAACGACGTTCTAAGGGACGACGAGCTGCGTTCCATTCTGGGGCGGGTGGAGTCTGAGAAGGACAAGGAAACCTTCGGTTTGGTCTGCAAGCGATGGCTTCGCTTGCAGAGCACTGAGAGGAAGAAGCTCGCCGCACGTGCCGGTCCCCTCATGCTCCGAAAAATGGCCGATAGATTCACACGCTTGCTCGAATTGGACCTCGCTCAGTCCGTTTCGCGTTCCTTCTACCCCGGCGTCACCGATTCCGACCTCGCCGTCATCGCTAATGGCTTCACATGCTTGAAGATCCTCAATTTGCACAATTGTAAAGGTCCGTTTCTCTCTCCTTTTCTCGTTTTTTCTCTGATTCGCTTTTCAAATCTTGATTCTCTGAACTCTGATTTACCGCGACTTTTGATTGTTTTTCACACAAACTCGTATATACATTAACTTCTATGGACAGAGGACTAAAAACAAAGATTTTTCCTTTTCTCAATTTTATGTGTATCATGTTATGTAATTTGAGTGGCGATTAAGGACCAAGGTTTTATATAACGACAAATGCGGATTGACGTTGTTTTCGAAATCACAGTTGTGGAGTGTGGACTGTTCTTTAAAACTTTGTTAAGGACTATCACTTTTAAGGGGTTTCCGTTATTTTTAGTTTGTTAATTTGGAGTGTTGAAGTTTTATGATTGACAGGGCATTGTTGTTTGTGTAATATACAGGAATTACAGATACTGGAATGAAGGCTATTGGTGAAGGTCTTTCCTTATTGCAGTCGTTGGATGTGTCTTACTGTAGAAAGCTGACCGACAAGGGATTATCAGCTGTTGCCAAAGGCTGTTCTGATTTGCGGATATTGCATATGGCTGGTTGTAGATTTGTTACTGATGGTGTATTAGAAGCTCTCTCCAAAAACTGTCGTAGCTTAGAGGAGTTGGGATTGCAAGGGTGCACAAGTATCACTGACAATGGACTGATATACCTTGCAAGTTGGTGTCATCGAATCAGGTTTCTAGACATCAACAAATGCAGTAATGTCAGTGATGTTGGGGTTTCTAGTATTTCTAGGGCTTGTTCATCTTCTCTCAAGACATTGAAACTGTTAGATTGCTACAAAATTGGGGATAAAACCATATTATCCCTGGCCGAATTCTGTGGTAATTTAGAGACTTTAATCATTGGTGGTTGCCGGGCTGTCTCTGCTGATGCGATAAAGTTGCTGGCTACTGCTTGTGGAAGCAGCCTTAAAAACTTGAGGATGGATTGGTGTCTAAACATTTCTGATTCTTCATTGAGCTGTGTTTTAAGTGAATGCAGGAACCTTGAGGCACTGGACATTGGTTGCTGTGAAGAGTTGACTGATGCTTCTTTTCAGTTTATAAGCAATGAGGAGCCTGCATTGAGTTTGAAGATTTTGAAGGTTAGTAATTGTCCAAAGATCACTGTGGCAGGTATAGGCATTATAGTGGGTAAATGCACTTCTCTGCAATACTTGGATGTGAGGTCATGCCCTCATATTACGAAGGCTGGTCTCGACGAGGCTGGTTTCCATTTTCCTGAATCCTGCAAGGTTAATTTTAATGGTGGCATCAGTGAGCCTGTTGTGCTTCTTTGATACCATAATTTTAAGAGGTTGGTTTCATCGTTAGATCTTCATTCGTAACCTTTATTGATAAGGCGTGTCTTTGTAAATTTGATGAGAATATTGATGATGTTAATTTTCTTGTGCAACCCATGTATCATGTATGTAAGTGCACTAAATGATATTGGATGTATAATGTTTTATTAATCAGTTCGGTTGTAAATTTGAAGAGAAACAGTTTTTTTTGTCTGATTTTATTTTCCCCTCTCCTGCCTTCTACAAATGTGCACTTTTCGCTTGATTGGCACTGAATATGAGCATAGATATCCAATTTTTGTTTGTATTACAATTAATTTGTACAATTCGATCTTTTTAAGAAATTGAGAAAAAGAAGTTGAAAGTGTATTTTTTTTTTTTTCTGAAAGTCAACAATAAAGCTTAAACTTTAAGCCTGCACGCAAACTATCTCTATTCCTATTGCTAGTGGGTATCCAATTCGACCCAAAGTAGTTTTGAACCAACAAGATAGAGTGGTGCTAATATTTTTGTTGCACAGGAAATCTTTCACTCTATCAGAAGAGAACTGGAGGAAAAGGGTGGATGATTATTAAGATTATTATTGAAAAAGCCCATGACAACTTGGTTGAAATAGGCTTTTGTCAATGATACTTTGATGGATATCGGTTTTCCCGCGGGTATGAGAAATACTATTCAAAAAATGGTTTCTTCAGATGTAGATCAGAAGTTATGGAAACCTATATCGATTGCTAGAGGAGGAACCAAAATTTCCCATTTGGCCTGCAAATGATTTAATCGTTTTTGCTGAAGATAATATGGAACAAGTCACATTCAGTACATTTTGGATTTATTTTGCAATAGCTCGGGTCAGAAGGTTAGTAAAAAGATAAGTCTAGAATGCTATTTTTTCAAAGAATGCGGGTTGGAGGGCTAAACAACAATTAAGGCAAGCTATGGGGATCCAATGGAGTGAAGATTTAGGCAACTATTTGGGTGTTGTTCCCATTCTCTAGTCACTGGCAGTACTTATTATCAGTTTATGATTATGGGGCATTCAATATACTCTGGTCCATGACTGCTATAGACCGCCCCTTTCTAAAGGATGGGCTCTATCATTCTTTTTATGCTTGACTGTTACTATTCATGATATTCATAAAGACGATGGGAATCTGGCTTGGATACATGCTTGCCGTGATGTTAGTGGTGCAGCTGATATGCTTGCTAAATATGTTTTGGAGGTTTATACAAAATGTCTGTATCTGACTAGCTACCCCTTTTAGTTTTTTTCTTACAGCAGCTGATGCAGCTTATAGATGGCTCTTCTGCTATTGTATTACTATTTTAATAAATAGAAGGACTCATAGTATATTTTAAATACACATTCCAATATTATAAATGCTAATCTTCATGTTAAATGGTTTCAATTTTAGAAACTACTATTATTCAATCATGCTACATGTACTTGTTTATTTATTATTCTCTATATTTTCTGTTATTTCATATGTTTATCAAATTCTTTTCTATTTCTCATTTCTTAAAGTATTTAACTAATTTTTTTACAACTAAAATGTAGTTTTTAGGCATTTCTAGATGAAGACATATATCTAATTAAATATATATGATAAACCTACAACAAAATAAGTGCATGATTTTACAAAAAAGTCTACTAACAAGAAATTGTGATCTGAGTTGAGAAAAGAAAGATGTTCTGTAATTGCAACTTGTAAGAAAAGAAGACGAGGCAGTGCACTAATATTATGGTAGAGAAACACAATCTGTTACCAGTAATAGAGAGGTGGTGATTAGAAAGAAAAGTTAAATTTTGCCAACTGAAATTGCCACATAGTTGTAGACATTTGGTTAGTATTTTTTCTATTTGTTTATTGGCGAAAATGGAACGTTAAATGAGACCCACTAATTAACAGAAAAACCAAAAAAAAAAAAAAAAAAAAAGGAGAGAGATCCTTTACCAAATTGAAGGATAATAAAATAGTATTACTAGACAACTATTATTATCGATTTATTCTACCATCCAAACAAACCCTGCCTTTTCTTTTATCTCCGCTCCTTCCATCTCCGCCGTACCATGTCGGAAGCACCACCGTCTCAGCCACCGCCTCCAACAGCCGACGCCACATCGCCGCCGTACTGGTGCTACCACTGCGAGAAGCGCGTTACAGTCGAAACGCTCGCCAATCTCCCAGACGTCGTCTGCGGCGAGTGCAAAAACGGCTTCGTCGAATCCATCCCCACGCCGTCGCGCTCGCGCTCCCCATCCGCCTCATCCGATGACCCCTACTTTGGCTCGCAGTTCCTCCAGGTGCTTCGCCTAATCGCGCAGTCGGCGCGTGACGAAGACGCGTCGCCTCCGCCGCCACCGAACCGCTCCCCGGAGAACGATTTCCTTAGAATCGAGCTCGGCGGCTGGGACAACGACGAAGAAAACGAAAACGAGAACGACGACGATAACGGCGACGAGGAGTTCGAGGAGCACGAGGAGGCGGAGGATCGCTCCGGCAACGAGGATCCGCACGGAGACGACGAGGATCTGAGAAGGAGGAGGCGCGAGCTGCTTCGGCTTCGGATTAGGGATTTGGCGACGCGCACGAGGAGCATGCGGAACCGGATCTTGGATTGGGCGGAGATTCTGATGGGCCTGGAGGACAATTCCATTGAGTTCCGCCTCCGGGTGCCGGAATCCGACCGCTACGTCGGGAATCCGGAGGATTACGTCGACGCGGTGGAGTACGAGGCGCTACTGCAGACGCTGGCAGAGACCGACGGCGGGGGCAGGAGAGGAGCGCCACCGGCTTCGAAGTCCGCTGTGGAAGCCTTGCCGACAGTGAAAATTGCGTCGGAGAGCGAAACTGTGGTGTGCGCTATTTGTAAGGATTTGCTCGGCGTAGGAGACCCCGCGAAGAGGTTACCGTGCGGGCATCATTATCATGGGGATTGCATTGTTCCTTGGTTGAGCTCCAGAAATTCTTGCCCTGTTTGTAGGTTTGAGCTTCCAACGGATGATAAGGAATATGAGGAAGAGAGAGTGGTTAACGCTGCCTCTTCGAATTCGAACGGAGCTTCCAGTTCCGGTGGAGGTGGAAGGGCCATTGTTTGATTCCGCTTGGTATGTTCCGTTTTGCCTGCTCTGCTCTCTTCTGTCCTGCCATTTGTGTAATATATTTCCTGGTTTCTGAATTTCTTCTTTTTTGGTATTAGTGGATTTTCTTCAAAGGTTGCGCCATGTCATTATTTATTTCAAGCTTTTATTATGTAGTTGGCTTCTTAGCTCTCCCATGCTAAGATACTTGTATATAGCACATTTGAATCAATGTGATCAGATCACTACCTCAATGCAATTTGCACTTTATCCCTGTTATGCTTGTCCCTTCTTGTTTACTCTTTTTGGTTGCTTGACTCTATCGTATCACATGTTCTGTTTGTGGAATAAGTGTAAATAACCCCGTGGATTTGGTCATGGGTTCGGATTTTGTTTTATCCTGAGATTAATGATCTTGTTTTCGTAGAAGAAGAATTCTTGTTTAGGGCTTGGGAGAGGGAAAGAGGGGAACCCTGAATCCTTAAATTTTTTTTTTTTTGCAACTGTTCATATGAGAATCAAGCTGATAGCTGGAAGATAAAACTAACACTTCCATTTAATTTCTCTAGTCATTTGATTAGGATTTGTTTTGTGAGTAACAGATTTCATATTTGTCCCTGCTCTAGTAAGCTAGAATGAGAATCTTAATTTGAAACTTGTCTGTCGCACAAAGTACTCGAGGGCCAGAAAACAGGAACAACAAAAAAGCGCTGCCATTTGCCAAAATTAGAATGAGAAACTTGAACATGACTGGTTTAATGGGCAAGAAAGCATACGAGATGAAACAGGATATTTATTTTATAATGAAGTTATACCATTTTGGTTGAGAATATCAACATGTAGCAGTGTCAATTTGGTGGTTCAGGATATTATTTTTCCATCTTTATAGGATGAAGTCATATCTAAAGACTGTGCTCCTATTTAATTCAACAATATTTTTTCTCCTTTCTACCAAAACGGAACGGGAAGGGCTCTGAATAAGCACTCTAGAGTAGATATTACCTCTGCATTTTGGAAAAAAGAGAGGTAAACTGTTTCCTGCCATACTTTTTGTTCCTTTCGGACTCATCAACAGTGTTTTATTTGATTCATGACTTCATCTTCGATTATCTAATATAGTTAGTTTGTCAGCTTCTACCTGTGATATATATATATATATACAGGCATTGTTCATCTCCTATTCACTAAGCCAATTGTCTAAACATATTTCACATGAGTGCAAGCTGATGCTACGTAAACCTTGATTATATTTTCACAGTAAGCATAGGTTTTAGGTTGAGTTTAGAAATCATGGTTGGTCCTTCCTTTTACTGCATTTCTACATTTTGTTCCTATGGCAGATCGTTGTTTTCTTTTCTGTGTTGGGAAGATTTTCAATATAAATAAATGACTAAGTTTGATTAACTAGGTTCAGATTAAATAGTTTTCTCTTATTTATCCCGAATCTTTATAAGCCTGTTAGAATTACTTCATCATCATATTCATATCCTTAACTTTGGAAACAAACGGAGAAAGGAATGAAAAGTTGCCTTCATTTATTTATTTGATTGTTTGTTTGTGGTAGAAAAAATTGCCTTTACTTCCATTGGCAAAAAACCTAGCATTTCACGGTAGCAAACCAACTACTTCGGTTTTTTGTCTTTGTTTATATTTCCCAAAACAGAAAACTGAAAGGGGTGGAAAGCTAGTCATTGTAGCTTGCAACTATGCGCTTTCGTTGTGTTGGTAACAATTAGATGTTAAATTTATTGGCATATATTCTAACTAGTTTTACAGGACAAATAAAAAGATTATTAAATTTATGATAGTCCTCGATTATGTTTTACTTGGATGATCAAATATCAATTCTTTTTGCGAATTTGTGTTGATGACGCATTCATTTTCAATAGTTTCTCCATACATGATAAATAGTTTTAGACATGTTCTGTGACTCAATTTCCAAAAATGTCCACATAAAGCATATGTCATAGTGAGAATTGAATTTAGTCTACCTGACAAAAATTGATGACGGTCATTCTGTTTTCATTGAAACCAAAGATGCTAAACTTTGCTAAACAAAATGCAAATATGTTCAACCAAGTTTTGTTTTTCTCTCTTTTTTAACCTTTGTTGAATAATCTTTTCAAACTAAGGATACCGTAAATTGTTTGATTTTGTTGGATCCATTAATAAACGACGATTGAATATGACTTGCAAGAAATTTTGATAGGGTCCTTGTCATGGAACAATCATAGAGTATTACGTTAAACAGGATTATTGTTTATTGTTAAAATCAATAAAATTTGAAACCTTAACATAATCAGAATATTATTAGGATCATCCTTTTTTTCTTTTTTATTAGGATCATTCAGTTTTGTAATTTTGCGGATAATCTGGTCCTCTTTGTAACAGAAGTTAATTGTTGCTGTTATTATCACTGTCGCAATCATGGACTGTCATTGCTCCTACTTGCCACCACCACCCTTTTGTCCCATCCACTCATTTCTGCTGTTACTGCAATTTCTATCATCGGTCACATATATAATTCTAACAAAATAAGCAAGCAAAAGGGTGAAGTGCTTGTATTCTTTTTTCTTAGTAACCTAGTTAGCTAAGGAACCGTATTAAATATTTGGTCGGCTATGAATATCATTTGGTGGGGGATGTAAGCTAAGATACTCTTTTGGTTTTAGAAAAAGGGAATGCCAAATCATTTCCTCATCATCTTTTGCCCCACTTACAGACACCATTCCTCCACGATGGAAAATCCAACTTTCGCCAAAAGATAACAATTTTAATTTAGTCCAAATAAAATTAAAATTAAACAATTTTATAGAGCATGAATAGTGTAATAAAAAAAAGTATATCAATCATAATAAACTATATAATTAAATGTTGTAACAATCATCTTATATAATTCCATTTTCAATTTGGTAAGATAAACAATTTGAAAAAGAAATAGGTACGATAATATCAAAAGACGCGTCTCAACTGTGCTATAAGATTGCCTATGAATGCGCAGACCACATGAAATGCAATGCAGGTTATGAATCATAAGTATTTCTTTTACAAAGTCATAATTAGACATAAAGTTTCTTCAAAAAAATATTTAAAAAGCTGATAATTAAAAATCAATTATTTGACTTATAGTACATAAAATATTTGGTTAAATTAATCAATCAAGTGAAACATAAAATGATGTAAAATGAAATGCTTACAAATAATAAAGCGAAATAACTAAATATGTAAGCATAATTGGCTAAACTTAACAAGGTTAACATTAGATTTAATTTTACAACTCTTAAATGTATAAGTCAATCGCTACTTCTATTAGTAAGCCAATTAAGAATTTTAAGTTGGTAGCTTTTCCAAGAAAACCTCTCTAACCAAACACTTTTTGATAGTTTAGTTTTGGTAAAATAGATAACTATCTTTAAGCTACTCAATTATTTTCCCAAATACATTCTAAGTAGTCAGGAGTTATAAGTTTAGTTTGGTGGTAAGGACACAATAAGAAGTGGGATAAATCATGGGTTTAAATTTGCTGCTATCCAAAAAAGATTACAAAACTAATAATAATAATAATAATAATAAATCATTTTCTTTAGTGTCAATTAATATTAAATTAAAATTTAATATAATACTAGAATTTATAACGATAATCTATTCAATTAGATTAAAGTTTTAACAGATAACTTTTTTTTAGTGACATTGTGAGTATTAATTAATCAAAAGCATTACATGTAAACCACTGTTTAGCATTTGCTTAATGAATATCCTTGCAGATGTTTTGCTCTTGAAGGTCTTGTATCATAGTTCTAACATGATACAAAAGATTAATTGCATAAGGTAACATGTTCGATTAAATGAATAATAATCTGAGTAGTTTTTGGTTTATATTATATTGAACAGGGTCTTGTTAAGCACCGACCGGTTAGCATTTGCTTATTGAATATCCTTGCAGATTCTGCCAGAAATTCGCCCAATATTTAATTTTATGAAGTTTGACTTTGAAATTCCAACTATGTCGAAAAATGCAACCAAAAGTTTAGAAATCACAAGATTCTGTTTTGTTTTTTTTTTTTTTTTTAATTATGATTATCAAAATTATGTAAAATATTTGTACATTTTGGGAACCTTTGGAACTTCACAAAATAAGTGAAGAAACAGAGGGGACAAACAATTTTACTGATACAGTATTTTCCTCTAAGATTGAGGAACAGTCTTCTGAAGACATTTGAGAGCTTTCTGATAATGGAAGAAACCCATGAACCAGAAATCGAAATTATCCACTGTATCTATTTCTATGTACTTTTGTGAAGGTTTCTCCAGATCCTCACTTTTGTTCACAGATCTTATCTTTCTAAGGGGAATGCAAACCTGAAATGAATGACATAGAAAATGAAAATCAGCAAAAAGGTATGACCAAGGATTAAGGAGATAGCTAGAAAGCATTTGAATAGAAACTAGAAAAAAAAAAAAAAAAAGGTGATTAAGAAAGTCACCTTATAAAGGACTCTAATATCTTCTCCATCTGGGGGAGAGATCTTGATGGATCTATTACTGCAAAATGCAACTTTTTCGGTGGATATGAAGAGAATACCAGCTATAGGACCTGATGTGGTTGATAAATAGCATTGTGATGCTTTCAACAGCTTCTCCCCTTCTCCAACACTAAATAGTTGCTTAAATACTTTCTCTACTCCACCAACCTGAAGAATTCTAGCTCCCATACTCAATTTCCCTTTCACTGTCTCTGTTATCTTTGGTCCAAGCCTCACTGCATGTTACAACAAGAGTTTAAGCCATCAATAAGAGGTTCATTTTGTTTTCCAATCATGTCAAATTATGCATCAGAAAATTTATGACAGAAATGTTTGCTGTGCCAAACGTGAAACAGTGCTTGTTCTATGTCTTGCAATGAAGCAAAGGTGAAAAATTAAATATATATCTTTAAAGATTATATATACCATGCTCTCGGACTATTTGTAAGAATCCAGATTTGTGATGTGTTCTACTTTGCTTTGGTTTCGTGATAGATTTGATGTATTTTCCGCGAGCATCAGGCAAATAATATCTCTTTGATGACTTGGCAACAGGGTACGTTGAGTTGACAGAAACTCCATTAGCTAGCTCATGAAGAAATGAGGCCTTCATTTTGTTGTTATCTTTTAGGAGTTAAATTTCCTTCTACCTCTGGATCTGAGGGTCTTCTTGAATATTCAAGAGCTTTTAACAACTTTGGTTGATGAACCCTTGTGTTCTACAAGGGTATATATAAGGCCAAAAGGAAACAAGTTGACTCCTAACTTTTTCCTGGATGAGTCAGATATGGATCATCATGAAGACTAAAAGGAAAAAAGTAATTCAAAATTTGAAGATTTGCATGTTCGGTTGCCCCCAGAAAGAAAGATTGTGAAAGGAGAGATGTGTTTCTCAATTAGAGAATTGAAGGAAACTTGTGATGTTCAAAGTATCCCTCTGTATTGGTTGGGTTGAATTTCAATATAAAATCTCTAAACATATAAAAACTTGAAACGTGGTTGGACTTGAATAGTTGGCTACCTGCCTGTTACTGCATACATCGAGGAAATAGTTAAGTTATTTCCTTTCAGCTTTTACCGTATTTGGATATTGATCAATCTAGGTTGGCCATTGGTTTGCATTGAATATTTCCTTTTTGGAGAACACCTATGATTTTTCTATGGTTTATAGAGAGAACTTGTTGTTCTTGTTTTATATATCTAACAGAAATGATGTTCTCACGTTTACTATTTCTGGCTCAAGGTTTTGTGTACGCAAATGGGAAAGAAAATAAGAGCAAAATCCATCCACCCCATAATAAGAAATTATAGGGTATAAAATTAAACCACCAGGGTATTTTTTTTTCAGAATCCTTAGGAAAGAATTATAATAATAATAATAACAACCAACTGTTTAGCTTTTAGGAAATGCCACCATTTTGAGAATGGGAGGAAGAAAATAAACTATTTTGGTTTGTTGAGACAATGCCACATGCATGATGACAAATCACGTCCATTGCCACTTTTTTTTTTTATTCATAAATGCAAATGTAAAGGTGTCATTTAAGCTTTTTGAGCTGGAATTTCACCTTTCTGATGCCACACCTCTCTAAGTTTTACTATTATTAGATAAAGTAAAGAGGGAAAAGTTTGCACCCCCCACATTGTCTTTAATATATTTTCTAGTCTAAACGTGAGAATCAACATCAATTAAAGGTTCATATTTTATGTCTGAGATCAAGCTGGTGTAATGTCAGCAAGGTTTTTTGAGGAATTCTTTGGTCCCTTCTGATGAAGATCACAACTATCAAAATCAGATTGGTTCCTGTTACTTTTCAATTCAATTCCTTTTGGAACTAGTGAAGTTTAACTAACAAAAACACATAAGCATTTTTAACGGATGAAAGTCGTTAGTGTGCTTTATCAGTGGGTGAAAAGACTATCAAAAGTGAGTTAGCTAGGTGTCAGTGCCATGTTAAGGTTTAAAGAAAAAGAAAGCATAACATAGACAAATCATTTAGGTCAGATATATGGAAGAAAAGGAGGAGTATCTAAGGTCAGAAATGGACATCGTGTGCTAGAAACAGCATAGGAGAAGAAGACATACTTCAATGTTCTGTGGAAAAGGAAATGGCCAAATCATCCCCACATCACCCCATGTCCCACACGGAAAGCTCACACTGGAAGTTCCTTCTGTCATCACTTTCTATTTTGTATTTTGAAAGGGAGAAGATCATCATTTTTTGTTACCTGATAAGAGGAATTGATGTTGTGTTGTGCCCCTGAAATTTCAGGGGAAAGATTCAACTTACTAAACCAGAATCTTCTTTAAATTCTTGTGCGTCTGATTTATGACAATTCATTGTGTGTGTGTGTGTGTACTGGTGTGTCAAGTTGTGTGAATGTAGAAAGAACACCAATCATGTTCTTCAAGTTGTGAAGTGGGTACCAACTAATGGTTTACAGGTATAAGAAGTTATCATTGATACTGTAAGACCCTTATCATGTGACCACAAAATTAACTTTTGTGCCTTACAAACCCTTTTCATCACCACTGCATGCCTTGATTTGATCCACTTGTTACATATGACCTTGTGTGCATTATGCAGAAATATCAATGTTTAAATTTCTATAATTTTTTTTGTTCTTCCAAGATAAGGAAAATCATATGTATGTATACATTATTTTCATTTTGCACATGACAATGAAATATATTCATAATTTTTTTTTTCCATTTCAATCAAGTCTAGAAGTAGACAAATAACTAACTTCCTTAATTTTAGGTATCTTGATTAAAATGCCACTTAAAATGGCAAGCCTATAAGAAAAATTCCTCACACCCCTTTTGATACTACTGTTTTAAAATTATTCTTATCTTTAAACCTAAATATCATTGTCAATAAAAATAATTTGAGGGTAATTTACGAGAAACATATTTTTAGCTTAATTAAATTATCTTAAATCTTATTCTTGATTAATGTAAAAGTAGTTAATTTTGTTTCTAATTGAGTGTCAAGTTAGTATTTTTTTTAAATAATTATGTTCTAGGTTGGAGATATGTTCCAGAAGTTTAATTTGTGTTTTGTGTCACAAGAGATTGTATTTTTTTTTCATATATTCATAAATAGATCAGATGGTTATTTTTTAAATATATTTTAAAAATATCAGATCTTTGTTGTCTAAATAATGATGAAAAAAATTATAATTTCTATACAAATTTAGATTATTTTCCTTGTTTACTCCTATGAAATAATAATAAATTTTTAATAATCATTAATAATAGACGTTAATTTGGTATATTGGTAATATTTTTAACTAAATTAAATATTTTTTTAGTATGTGTAATTATGTTAGAAATGTCTTATATTAAAGATAGAAAAGAATATATTAATAAGAAACAATTAATACGAAATATATTTATTTGTATAAATTTAATGTTATATTTTAAGAAGTTTGCATGTGTTTTGTTTTGGTATGGATGTTGCACTGTACCTAAGTATTGCCTAAAATTGTTTATGCAAGGATGCATGACTATAACTTTTAACTTTGTGATGCCACCTTTCTTAATTTTAAATTTCATTTCTATATTATTTTTCTACATGGGATTTATATGAAAAATCCAGAAATTAATGATAAATGATGTTTTGTGAAAATGTTAATGAGTGAGGTGTGGAATTATATTTTTATTTTTCATATATTTTATTTTTATATTTTAAATATAAAAAGTTTATTTACTAATGTGTTTCTATCCATAAAATATATAAGGTATGAAATGAGACATTAACACCAGTTAAGACCTCACCTACCCATAAAGTTAATAATAATACCAATACAGAAGTTGTTATTATAATAAGAAAACTAAGTTGGGTAATTTTTAGAGGTAAATGCAGTTTAAATATCAAAGGTAGAATTTTTCCTGTTGTAAAAAATAAAAAAAATATGTCATTACAATAAATTATATTATTTTTATCCATTTAAATATGACATATTTTTTAGAATTTTGTAAAATTAAAACATATTTTTAAGTTTTTATTAATAATTAAAGATAGATGCCAATGTCAAATTTAACCGTATTAATTATTGACAAATTCACTTGTATTTGTCGGTAGGTTACTGTTAAAAAAATATAAAAAAATATTTAAAATTTAAAAGATAAAAATAACAAAAAAAAAAAATTGAAGATATATTTAATACATTTGATCTTTCACTCTGAAAAATGGTCACAAAGACTGAACAAGGATGAAGGTAAAAACTACAAAATTACACATTATGTATAGACAAACAGGTAATGCTTAGAAAAAAAATTTAATATAAAAAATTTAAAATATGAAAAACCAAACAATATGGGAGTTAAACAATAATCTCGTGTCAACTACAGTAGAAAATTGTAAAAATAGACTCACATTTAATTATACACAAATTTCACTAAAAATATAGCGGGAGTGAAGAATCAACTCAGGTTCAAAGCAAATGAATGTCTAATTGAGCCTCAAACTTGTACAATTTGGCAGCTAATTGTTTTGTAACATCTTTTTCGATGTATATTTTCTTTAATATTTACTCCTACAGTAATCTTCATTCACAGAATTCTAACAAAGGCTCATTACTGCCTCAGAAGCAGTCTGGTACATAGCACTGCCAGCCAGCCACAGAACACATATAAGTTGTATTCTGTATCAAATGATGCACCAAATGGTGAAATCTTTCATTCACAAGATGTGAAGTCAAGTCTGCAGCTCAGCTGGTATGAAACACATCGATCCATTCACTATGATTGCAGGTCAATTGGTGCCCAGCAGGGTGTATATATACAATGATGTGAAATCTCTCTTATGAGAGACAAAACTCAACATCTTCAGTGACAGCTGCCAAATTTTAGTTTGCTTCTTCGTCTTTGTCCTGACAACATGAATCTTCGAGTTCAAACTCAGAAATTTACTACTCAGCTAGGCCTGAGAAATTGCCTGCTGAAGATATTGGAATGTTTTCTGATATTTTAAGACACCCATGAACCAGAAATCAAAGTTGTCTTCCGTGACAATCTTTATGTACTTCTGTGTTGGCTTCTGAATATTTTCAGTTTGGTTCACGGATTTGATCTTCTTCAATGGAATAGCAACCTGTACAAGAGCATATACCTTTCAGAACTTGAGCAATTATTGGATAAATTTAAGGCCAGCATATAGCTCTTCAATGGACACTTTCGGGAGAAGAAAATATGAAGTAAAATGAATAAAACTCGTCTTCTAAGTTCAAATCAACTTATACATTTCATCTTTTCAAAAATTTAGATGAGAGAACTTTCAAAAGTTTGACGCGCAGAAGTTGTGATTTGACCTTATAAGAAAAGATCAATTTAATTTATCATCGCAATTTTCTTCTCCTGATTCTAAGTACTCGTTGAAATTTTTTTTTACCAATGTATATATACTTCAAGACTGACCTTATAACGGATCCTCAACATATGTCCTTTCTGTGTAAAGACTTTCACTGATCTCTCACTGCAAAAGGCAACCTTGTCAGTGGAGATGAAGAGGAAGCCTGCTAGAGGACCGGAAGTGGTGGACAGATAGCACTGGGAAACTTTCAATAGCCTCTCTCCTTCTCCCACACTAAAAAATTGCTTATACACTTTTTCTACTCCACCAACTCGAAGAATGCGAGCTCCTAAGCTTAACTTTCTCTTGACAGTTTCAGATATATTTGTCCTCAGTCTCACTGCAATTTCAGTAATAAATGGAATTAGGTCTGTTCACCATGCTAAATAATTTGAGGTATATATAAATACGTATGAACAAAGTTAGATGTTTGTTTGTAAAGGAAAAGAAAATTTACTTTTCTTTGATGTTGCAGTTGAATATTGACATTGAGTTGCAGGACCAGGTAAGTATCTGTTAACTGACGTTTGAAGCTGACCATGTGTTACTGGAGTTCCAACAACTAGCTCACGAAGAAGTGAGGTCTGCATGTTTGATGACTATTAAGGTTTCTGTTTAATTGACAGGATTGGAAGCAGCAGGTGAAGAGAAATGGTATGAACTTCTTCAAGGTTGCTATGGAAATTAATTATGCTCAATTGGGTTGATGATTCCTTGTATTCCAAAGTGGTATTTAAAGGGATGAAAACAAGGAAGTGAATCTTTTTCTTTTGGTGGGATGACTCAACCTTAGATCATCAGCCACGTTTATGATTGATATCAACGCACTGGCACAGTGGCATGACAATATGAAAGAAAGTTGTTAAAGATAATATTTTGACGTCATGGATTGTGTGGCTGCTTTTAGAAAATAAAAAGATTGTGCAGAAACATTCAAATTAACTTTTTCAGAACTTAAAAAATCCCTGAAAGGTTAATTTTAAGAGGAGAGGTTTATATATCTTCGGGAGCAAGGTTCCATGGTGATTGATCAAAGTAAAGAAATAAAAGCATTCTTTCTGATAGCATAATGGCATTGTCACACGTAAATCATTGTAGACATGCACTGTTTTAGGTAAGGAAATTAAACCCGAAAAAGTTGACTGATGAAATACACCGACTAGTTGAAATACTTTTTAGTTACACCTACTTGCATCACCAAGGCTTTATGAGCTGGTATTTGATCTTTCTGATGCCATACTTCTCTAAATTATCTTGTGATAAGGTTCGGGGAATTAAAGAGATGATGAAGTTTATCCCATGTGCCTATCTGATATATGTGATGAACTATTTGCAACTAACATAAAGTATCATTTTTTTTTTCTTTCTCTAACATAAGGTTGAATGAGGATGCTAATTTATGAAAAGAGTAATACTAAAATATTGTGAGACTTCTGAAAGTTCAAGTTGGGTATTGCATAGGGTGTTTTTACTCTTCCACAGATTCTACATGCTGAAATGGGAGACAACAAACCAATCTTTCTTTTCTCAAGGGAATATAGATTATGCTTTATCTTGTTTTCGAGTGATTGACTTATGATTGAAGAAATTTATATTATTCACAACCAAAAGTCTAAAACCATTGCACTGATGCTCTCGGGGGTTTTGAAACTAGACATAAAACTGGGGCAGTCATTAACGAAGCCATCAATGCTTTTTGTTGAGTCAAACTATATCCATGTATAAAGCGAGGTTGCTGACAGGGCTATGAATGAGAGGAACATGAAATTGTTTAATGTTTAAGTCAGAAATGGAAAGCGATCTCTGGCCGCACGTTGGCTTTGAAAGTTTTGTATTAGAAGAGCTTTTGACATTCCTCATAGTAATGTGTGGAAATGCAGATTGCTATGTTTCATACGTGTAAAGATGCAAATCTGAGTTGTGCATGCATGCTTGCATACAGAAGTTGTGAAGTGGGTATGAACAAATGGTTTACATCACAGCTTTATCAGTGATACCTTATCATCTCCATATATTTAACTTTCAATCTTCCATTCTCAATAGATTGCACAAAAAACTAGAAAATTGTCATGTTCCTGGATATTCTTTAATTTTATAGATAAGGCATTCTATATTATGTAAATGCACAAAACTCGGACAACGGTGCTAAACACTTGTTGGAGATAAAATAAGCGTATTGGTAAAAGCAGTAAATATATAAATACTATTTTTAATTATGAATCCTAATTTCTTAGACAATTGTAAGTAAGAACCAATTCAATCAGCTTCGAAGTAAAGTGAGGAATGATGAAAATTAAGGTCAGCAAGGTTTTTGAGGAATTCTTTGGTCCCTTATGAATGAAGATCACAACTATCAAAATCAGATTGGGTCCTGTAACTTTTCAATTCATATCACATATAGAGGAACATCCTTCTGGAGGGGGGAAAATCATTTTGGAACTAGTGAAGTTTAACTAATAAAAACACAAACATTATTAAGTTATGAACGCGTTAGTGTGCTTCATCAGTGGGTGAAAAGACTATCAAAAAGTGAGTTAGCTTGGTGTCAGTGCCATGTTATGGTTTAAAGAAAAGGAAAACATGACATAGACAAATCATTTAGGTCAGATATATGGAAGAAAAGGAGTATCTAAGGGGTGAAATGAAAATTCTCCTGTATTAAAATCCTCTTTGATTAGAGATATAACTGACTTATATTACAGTGGGATTGGGATACAAATCTCACCTTCTAAACTAATTTTTCTATGATTGAGTTACAATCCTCTTCAATCCTAATAAGAACTAATATTGAATTCAAGAAATTACAATTGACAATTAAAACCTTATTTTCCTGGGAATAAGAAATATAAACAGGCGATGTGAGAATGAAACTGATAATCAAACGTTTTCATCCTTCTTCCTAGTCTTAAAAAGGAAAAAACTGTTACCATACATAAAATCAATTGGACAAGGAAAAAAGTATTTTCGACGGACAGAAAACTTTGGACCAGAAATGAGGCTTTCACTTTGAAATCATGTTAAGTTTTAACATAAAACCAATTAATAATACAAAGTAGTCTATTAAGTATTTAAACTATATCGTAGGTCTTCTAATATATATATATATATATTTATTTAATCTCATTTCATTACGAAGAACACCATCTAATAATTAAGTGATTAATGAAATTGATTCATTAATTGTACTTATGAAGTGTCCATTTATCAATGTACTCCCTTACTCATCCTGTTAATTAATTAAACTAAAACAGACTCACATTTGATTATACACAAATTTCACTGAAAATTTAGATGGTATATACATACAAAGTGAGTTATCAACTCATGTTCAAAATAAATGAATGTGTAGAGCCTCAATGTATTCTTTCTTTAATCTTTACTCCTACAGTAAATCTTCTTTCATAGAATTGTAACATAAGCTCATTCCTTCCTCAAAAGCAGTCTGGTAGTTAGCACTGCCAATAGCCACAGAACACTCATAATTAACTTTTATTCTGTAACAAATGATGCTGGTGACATCTTTCATTCACAAGGTGATATGAAGTCACGTCTGCAACTCAGCTGATCTGAACCGCATCCATTAACTATGATTGCAGGTCAATTGTGGTGTCCAACAGGATGGATATATACAATGAAGTGAATCTCTTTTATAAGAGACAAAACTCAACATCTTCAATCACAGCTGCCAAATTTTAGTTTGTTTCTTTGCGTTTGTCCTGACAACATGATTCTATTGTGGATTTTGCAACTCGGCTAAACCTGAGAAACTGCCTGCTGAAGATATTGGAAAGTTTTCTGATATTTTAAGACACCCATGAACCAGAAATCAAAGTTGTCCTCGGTGACAATCTCTATGTACTTCTGTGATGGCTTCTGAACATTTTCAGTTTGGTTTACGGATTTGATCTTCTTCAATGGAATAACCACCTGCACATGAGCATATATACTTTTCAGCACTTGAATAATTCTTGGATAAAGATAAACTGAGAATTATGAAGACCTTTATGGTCGGCATAGAGTTTGCAATGGATACTTCAGGAGAAGAAAATATGAAGTAAAATGAATAAAAATTTTCTTCTAAGTTCATATCAACTTATGCATTTTATCAATTCGAAAAGTTAGATGAGAGAAGATCAATTTAATTTATTGTTATTTTCTTCTCCTGTCTATAAGTACTTGTTGAAAAATTTGTGCAAATTTGACCTATATACATGACTTCAAGACTGACCTTATAACGGATCCTCAACATATGTCCTTTCTGAGTAAAGACTTTCACTGATCTCTCACTGCAGAAGGCAACCTTTTCAGTGGAGATGAAGAGGAAGCCTGCTAGAGGGCCGGATGTGGTGGAGAGATAACACTGGGAAACTTTCAATAGCCTCTCTCCTTCTCCGACACTAAAAAATTGCTTATACACTTTTTCTACTCCACCAACTCGAAGAATGCGAGCCCCTAAGCTTAACTTTCTCTTGACAGTTTCAGATATATTTGTCCTCAGTCTCACTGCAATTTCAGTAATAAATGGAATTAGATCTGTTCACCATGCTAAACAATTTGAGGTATATACAAATACACATGAACAAAGTTAGATGTTTGTCTGTAAAGGAAAGAAAAATTTACTTTGCTTTGATGTTGCAGTTGAATATTGACATTGAGTTGCAGGACCAGGTAAGTATCTGTTAACTGACTTTTGAAGCTGACCATGTGCTACTGGAGTTCCAACAACTAGCTCACGAAGAAGTGAGGTCTGCATGTTTGATGACTATTAAGGTTTCTGTTTAATTGACAGGATTGGAAGCAGCAGGTGAAGAGAAATGGTATGAACTTCTTCAAGGTTGCTGTGGAAATTAATTATGCTCAATTGGGTTGATGATTCCTTGTATTCCAAAGAGGTATTTAAAGGGATGAAAACTAGAAAGTGAATCTTTTCCTTTTGGTGGGATGACTCAACCTTAGATCATCAACTACGTTCATGATTGATCTAACGCACTGGCACAGTGGCATGGCAATTTGAAAGAAAGTTGTTAAAGATAATATTTTGACGTCATGGATTGTTTGGCTGCTTTTAGAAAATAAAAAGATTGTACAGAAACATTCAAAATAACTTTTTCAGAACTAAAAGAAATCCTTGAAGTTGTTTTAAGAGGAGAGGGCTAATTATATTATATATCTTCAGGAGCAAGGCTGCATGGTGATTGATCGAAGTAAATAAGAGTATTCTTGCTGATATCATATTATCATGTTTTCACACAAACCCATTGGAGAAATGCACTATTTTAGGTGATTATATTAAAATACAGAAGTTGACTGATGAAATAAACCGATTAGTTGCAATACTTTTTAGTTAAACCAACTTGCATCACCAAGGCTTTATGAGCTGGCATTTGATCTTTCTGATGCTAGAATTCTCCAAATTCTTTAGTGATAAGGTAGGAAAAAGTGAAGAGATCGTGAAATTTATCCCATGTGACTATCTAGTATATCTGAACCTTTTGCAATTAACAGATTTCTTGACATATAGTATCATTTTCTTTTTGCTTTCTCTAGCACAAGTTTGAATGACGATACTAATAAATTTATGAAAATTTAATGCTAAAATATTGTGAAGACTTTATGATAGTTCAAGTTGAGAATTGCATGGGGTGTAAACACTCTTCAAAGAGTAGGCAGTAGGCATGCTGACATGGGAAGCAGCACAACTATCTCTTGCTTTTCTCTAGGCATAAGGGATCATTCCTTTCCCTACACCATTTGAGTCATCGTTGAAGAAATTGATATCATTCGCAACTAAAAGTCTAAATAGCACTGATGCTTTCGGGAGTTTTGAAACTAAACTTAAAACTCGGCCAGTCATTAACGAAGCAAATGCTTTTTTTGGGTGAAACTATGGAATTGTTTTAATGTTTGTCAGAAATGGAGTGTGATCTTCAGGAGCAAGGTTCCATGGTGATTAATCAAAGTACGGAAATAAAAGCATTCTTACTGATAGCACATTGCAAAAAGTTATCACACAAACCATCGGTAACTGTACTGTTTTGGAATCTGGCAAGGAAATTAGACCCGAAAAAGTAAATGATGAAAATGCATCAATTAGTTGCATACTTTTTTCAGCTTTATGAATTTGCATTTGAACTTTCTGATGTCAGAATTCTCCAAATTCTCTTGAGATAGAGTAGGAGAAAGTAAAGAAATGGTGAATTTTATCCCATGTGGCCATCAAATACAACCTATACTTGCCAGCCATTAACAAACTGCTAACATAAAATATATTATTTTTTGCTTTCTCTATCACGAAGGTTGAATGAGGATACTAACTTTACGAAAGTATAATGCCAAAATATTGCTAAAAATATGGAAGTTCTAGTTGGGACTTGCATGGGGTGTGTCAAGATACATACACTCTTCAAGAGTATGCATTAGAAAAGTTGACAAGACATGTGCCTACATGTTGATATGGGAGACAACATAATCTCGTTGCTTTACTCAAGGGAAAAGGGGACCATTCTATGAATGTAGATATGTTTTCGAGTAACTGAGTCATCGTTGAAGAAATTGATCCGAGTAGCAACTAAACGTCTAAAACCACTGCATTCATGCTTTCGTGGGTTTTGAAATCAAACTAAACACGTAGTCAGTCATTAACGAAGCTATCATTGGTTCCATAATGTGAGGTTGGTGACAGGGCAATGATGATAAGGGATAATTACGAGAAAGAAGGCAAAGCTATGCAATGTGAAATTGTCAAGTCAGAAATGGAAAGCTATCTGTGGCCACGTTGGCTAGGAAAGTCATTTGGTGGGAGCAGTAGTAGAAGAGAAATGAGGTCGACATGCTTCAAAGTTTTATGGAAAAGCAATTTGCAGTGTCTCATATGTAAAGTTGATATATATTGAGGAAGTTCATTCTTCGGTACTTTGTGGTTGAGTTTTGAAAGCGTTATTAATGTTATTGTTTGTGTTGTAAGCGTGGTAATTCGTTTATGCATAATTCAAGTGAAGTTTTGTTAGGAATTTGTATTATTTGAAGTTCAGCAAGATCTTGGATAGAGGCTAGCTAGTTTTTTTTTTTTTTTTTCTAATAATATAATGATATAGGTTAGATCCCATATCGGTTAAAATATAATTAAATTATAATATATAATTAAATTTTAAATGTTTATTTATTTATTGATTTGGTAAAATTGAGTTTATTTTATCTATTTCTAATAGAATTAGCGTTCTAGAGACATAAATTTAAGTATTACATTAAAGTTCTTACTGTTACAAAGTTCATCAACTCTTTCACAAAGCACTCCAAATAATATTTTATACTTTATAAAGTCATCAATATCAATAATTAATTTTACTTTTTTATTTTCTACATGTGATTTTTCATATTCATCCTATAAGTTTTTTGGCAATTTCTCCTTACCATGAATATAAAAGAATTTTGTTTTAAAAGTCTCTAATGATTGAAAATTATTTTGATATCATCTTTAAAATATATATTCATTATTTGATATTAAATAAAATATGTATATAAGGAAGAAATAACTTATAATTATATATAAATATATGTAGCTAATTATAATAATTAATAATTATATAAATCCTAACTAAATATAATATAATGGGTATAATCTTGTTTTATATAGAAAATAAAACGAAAAAAAAAAAACACAAGAAAAAGTTACACCAATAGAATTCTTTTAGTGGTTGACAATGTAAAATATTTTACAATCACTATACATAATCATTAAACTCCTAATTAATTCTTCATAAACTTGACTAAAAACATGGATGGTATATACAAATAGTACTAAAAACTCAAAGGTTGTGATAAAAAGTTTGAATTATAAACCATTGTGTAAAGGGAGATTATAAACAGTATTGTTCCCTCCTTCTCTATGTATTTCACCTTCAATTTTTCCCTTTTAGTAATCTCCCTTCACAGAGCTCTAAGACAATTCTTTCCCTTCATCACGAGCAGTCTGTTCCTTAGCACGACCAGACAATTAGCCACATAACATAGCTTGAATTCTGCTCCAAATGGTGAACTCCTGGATTCACAATGAGTTTTACTGGAATCCAAGTCTGCACCTCTTCTGAGATGAATCACATCCATTCCCTATATACATGAACCAAGACAAGGCACAATATTTTCAATCACAGCATTCAAATTTTAGCCGATTTTTCTGATAGTCTTTTGTGTCTGTGTTTGTCCTCTTAACGTGAATATTCTAGTTTAAACAGCCTGAGAAACTGCCTGCTCAAGATATTTTAAAGTATTTTGATATTTGAAGACACCCATAAACCAGAAATCAAAGTTGTCCTCCGTGATAATCTCTATGTACTTCTGTGTTGGCTTCTGAGCATTTTTACTTTGGTTCACACTCTTTATCTTCTTCAGTGGAATGACAACCTGCACATTTCCAAATATACTTCATTACTTCAACAAATTTTGGATCAAGAGAAACGGAGATATATGAAGTTGGTATAGGATAAAGTTCTTCATGAGCAAGAAGAAGAAAATGGGAGGTAGATAACTCAAACTTTTGTAAATCAAAGTGACCAACCTTATAACGGATCCTCAACATATGGCCTTTCTGAGTAAAGACTTTCATTGATCTCTCACTGCAGAAGGTCACCTTATCTGTGGATATGAAGAGGAAACCTGCTAGAGGACCAGATGTGGTGGACAAATAACACTGGGAAGCTTTCAAAAGCCTCTCTCCTTCTCTCACACTAAAAAACTGCTTAAACACGTTTTCCATTCCACCCACTCGAAGAATGCGAGCCCCTAAGGTTAACTTTCTCTTGACAGTTTCTGATATATTTGTCCTCAGTCTCACTGCAATATCAGAGTAATATAAATAGAATTAGATCCCTCCACCAAGCTAAACAATTACAGGTATATGTAAGTAAATCTTGTCAAAGTTAGATGTTTTTCAGTAGAGAAAAATAAAATTTACTTTGCTTTGATGTTGTGGTTGAACATTGACATTGAGGGATAGGACCAGGTAAGTATCTGTTAACTGGCTTTTGAAACTGATCATAAGTTGCTGAGATGACTGGAGTTCCAACAACTAGGTTATGGAGAAGGGAGGTCTGCATGTTTGATGATTATAAAACAAGGTTTATGTTTTATTAAAGGGATTAACTAGCAACAGGTGAAAATGAGCTCTTCTAGATTGCTAAGGAAGTTTTGCAGACTTGGTTGATGAGTTCCTTGTATTCCAAAGAGGTATTTAAAGGAATAACAACTAGGAAGTGAATGTTACCCTTTGGTGAGATGAATCAACGTTAGATCACCAATTGATTGATATAAAGGCATTGGCATGACAACTTAAAGTAAAGCTATTCAAGACAATATTTTGATGTCATGGATTGTTTGGCTGCTTTTAGAAAAAGGTAGTACAGTAAACTTTTTCAAAATTAATTTTTTTTCCTAAAGACTAATTTTAAGAGGCTTAGAGAAAGGATTATATACCTTCAGGAGCAAGGTTCCATGGTGATTGATCGAAGTAAGGAAATAAAAGCATTCTTGCTTATAGCATGTTGCCAAAAGTTATCACACAAACCAATGTATAACTGCATTGTTTTTGAAACAGGTTAGGAAATTAGACAGGCAAAAGTAAATGATGTATACACATACTAGTTGCAATACTTTCCGTTACACCTCATGTGAGGATGTGTCATCGGGGCTTTATGAGTTGGCATACGTCTCCAAATTCTCTTGTGTTAAGTTAGGAAAAAGTAAAGAGATGATGAAGTTGATCAGTGTGGCAATCTAATTTATACTACCTATTTGCAATAAACAGAGACGCTTAATTAACATTTTCCTTTTTTATGTAACACAGTTTAAGAGTGAATCAAATTTATGAAAGTTCTATGTTAAAAATATTGTTAAGATTTATATGGAATTTCAAAATGGCACTTGCATGGGGTGTAAGATACACGTACACTCTTCAACAGTAAGCATTAGGCAAGCTGACTAGACATGTGCCAAAATGTGATGTGGGAGACAACAGAATCTCTTGCTTTTTCTCAAGGGAAAAGGGGACCATTCTCTGAATATAGATATATCCCTTTATCTTGTTTTCGAGTGATTGACTCATCATTGAAGAAAAAACCGTTGTATCGATGCTCTCATGTGGTTTGAGACTAAACTAAATCTTGAGCAGTCGTTAACGAAGCCATCAGCTTTTTTTGTTGGGTCTGGTTCATATCATAAAGTGAGTTTGCTGACAGGGATGTGATTATGGTAAGGGATAAATAATATAAAAGAATATAACAATGGCACGTGAAATGGTTTATGTCAGAAATGGAAAGTAATCTGCAGCCGCATGTTGGCTTTGAAAGTCATGTGCTGGGGAACAGTAGGGGAGAGAAAAGAGTCTTCGACATACTTCAAAGTTTTGTGGAAAAGCAAATTTCCAAGTCTCATAATTAAATCTGACTGTAAAAGTTCCATCTTCAACTGTTTCTGGAAGGGCAAATGCTACTTTTTCTGACACTTTTAATTTGTGCTTTGAAATTTGAAAGGAATGGTCTAATTTAATCATTGAAACTCATGCTTCTTTTTGCATCATTATCAAGTACCTCCCAGTTTCAGTTGTGCATGTTGTCAAATGGGTACCTACAAATGGTTTACAGGTATAAGAAGTTATCACTTATCAATGATGCCTTATCATATAACCATGATTTTCATACCCAAGAAATTGCAGAGGTCGAGAATTGGCCATATTCTTGAGCTTACTTCCTTTCTTCTTGAGAATGTCCTATTTCTTGCTAGTAACGATTGTAATAATTTAAATATTTGTATTTTTACAGACATGGCATTCTTGTGTGTGTGTACGTATGGAAGTAGTTAACAAATTCTTCGTAAAGTTTGACTAACCAAGCAGACTAGAGTTTGTTCACAAAAATGGTATCCTAGCAGTTTATTGAAAGTCCAGAGGTCACATTGCCACGATTCAGTCTCAAAACAAGACCAAATCTGTAGCCTATATTATTTGGACTATACTAGCCAATCACATTTCAAATGGTAAAGTGACTTTAACCTAAATAGATATTAAAATTAAACATCACTCTACTAAAACTAAACGAGATAAGTAACAGAATTATGAAAAACAGTTAATAAAATAAATTCACTTTTTAAATAAATATATGCAGAATTTTAATAATGAGTTGAATAGGAAGAATACAATCTGAAAATATTTACACGATCAATTTACATATAATATAGCCAAAAATGTTCTACTGTTGACCCTTAACTATTTAGCATTAACAACCAGTCATCTACTGGAATACATGCGGCTAGCTCAATAAAGAAGGCACTAACGATGAACTATTGTACTCCATGCGTCCAGAGTATGCTAGCAACCAACTCTGCAATTTAACTGATATGACCGTCTCTGTTTGCTGTCACAGACCAATATGTTGTGCCCAACACAATGGACAGAACAATGGAGCTGGTTTTATCAAAGACAAGTCCAATATCTTCAATAATAGCTGCCAATTTTTATTTTGTCTCTGATCAGCTCTGGTATCTTTAAAATGAAGCTTCAATGTCAAACAGTGATTTTCTCCACTCAACTAAGCTTGAGAAATAGCCCTCAAGATTGTTGTAAAATCAGCAAAGTAGTATAAAACAAAAAACAAAGAAGAATTGAGCGTGATAGAGAGTTCAACAACAAAACAAAAAGAAAAAACTCAGGTGTGCATTGATAACATCAAAGTTTTCTTTTTTAATACAAAAAGGGATATGTAAATCTCCACAAAATAAGAACTACTACTCCTTTCTATCTAATTTTTTGACCATACAACCTACTCTTTCATAAAATAGAGATTTTCACCAAACCAAAAAACAATCAGAAGTTACTTAAAGTATTTTAGAAAGAACTCAATTTCTAACACTCCTCCTTGAAATTTTTCTTGAATACTCCAAACTTTGATCTTAGAAATTCAAACTTGTTTTTGGAAAGTGCTTTGGTCATAATATCAGCAATTTGACTCTTTGAACTACAACGCTCTACGCTGATTTCCTTTGATTTCTCTGCTTCTCTAATGGCATGATATTTCACCTTGATGTGTTTTGTTCTATCATGCTAGACAAGATTCTTTGCAATTGTAATGGTTGACTTGTTATCAACCCATATGAAAGTAGCTTCATCATTCAGTTCCCTCAAATCATGCAAAATTTTTCTAATCCAAATAGCTTGATTTGCAGTTGCTGCAGCTGAAATATATTCAGCTTCAGCTATGGATTGAGCCACCACATCTTGTTTCTTTGAATTCCAAAAGAAAACTCTCCTACCAAATGAGAAAACATAACTTGATGTACTTTTAGCATTATCTAAACTTCTTGCCCAGTCACTGTCTGCATATCCTTGAAGATCACCACTTTCATCCTTTGAAAAACATAGACCATAATCAGTTGTCCCTCTTATATATCTCAATACTCGTTTTGCTGCACCGTAATGAGCTTGACTAGGAGAATGCATAAATCTGGACAGCAAACTTGCAGCAAACATTAAGTCTGATCTAGTGACTATAAGATACAATAAACTTCCAATTAAACTTCTATAAGTAGTAATATCTACTTTGCTGCAAGCATCATCAAGTGACAACTTTTCATTTACAACAAGGCGTGTGTTTACCGGTTTACAATTCTGCATAGAAAACTTCTTCAATATTTCCAAAGCATATTTTCTTTGTGTAATAAAGATTCTAACATCACATTGGTGAATCTCCATTCCAAGAAAATAATTCATTTCTCCCAAGTCCGTCATTTCAAATTCAGTTTCCATGTCATGCTTAAAGCTACTCAAAGAATATGAATTTTTGCCAATAACTAGCAAATCATCAACATATAAGGAAACAATGAGCTGCACTTCATTGCTTGACCTTTTCACATACAAAGTAGCTTCATTTTCACTCCGTTTAAACCTCTTATGCAGTATATAACTATCAATTCTACTATACCAAGCCCTAGGAGCCTGCTTTAATCCATAAAGAGTCTTTTGAAGTTTGTAGACTTTGTTTTCACTCCCTAGAACAACAAAGCCTTTAGGTTGTTCAACAAAGATATCCTCTTTAAGTAAACCATTTAAAAAGGCTGATTTCCCATCAAAGTGATAAATTTTCCAACCCATTTTTGCTGTCAATGCAACGAGCAACCTGATTGTATCATGTCTTGTCACCGGAGCAAATGTATCTGAGAAATCAACACCATGTTGTTGATGATAACCTTTAACAACTAGTCTAGCCTTTAGTTTGTTTATAGAACCATCAGGATTCAATTTGGTTCTATAAACCCACTTACGACCAATAACTTTGTGTTTAGTAGGCTTGTCTACAAGTTGCCAAGTTTTGATTTTTTTAATCATATTCATCTCCTCCTACATAGCACATCTCCACCCACCTATTTCAGCTGTTTCATCATATTCTTTAGGTTCTAGTGTAGCAATATTACACCTTTCATAAATTTCAACAAAAATTTTAGTGCCTCTAATTGGAAAATCATCATCATCATCATCTAAATCCTCTTCTTCAATCTCTGAATATTGTTCTTGGAGAGTGTCTACTCCAAGCTGTTTTTTACTTAAGGCTTCTACCTTGCATTTCTCCCAATTCCATCTAGAAAATTCATCAAACTTCACATTTCTACAAATGAGAATCTTCTTTGTCAAAGGATTGTATATCCTATAACCTTTGGAGTTACTGGAATACCCCAAGAAAACACCAACTTCTTACTTATGATCCAGTTTATCTTTATTTACCTCTGGATTATGAGTATAACATATGCAACCAAATATTTTGAGATACTCCACTGAGGGCTTCCTTCCATACCATGCTTCATAAGGTGTTTTACCTTTCAAGGCTTTAATAGGCAACATATTCAGCAAGTATGTAGAGGTGTTAACCGCCTCTGCCCAAAAGGTTTTGGGAAGATCTTTTTCAAAGAGCAAACACCTTGTCATCTCCATAATGGTCCTATTTTTTCTTTCACTCACCCCATTTTGCTGAGGGTTGTAAGGAATAGTTAATTGTATACACAGTTTAATTATCAAATCTGAGTTTTTAGTTTGCTTCCAGCCTCATCTTCAACT